ATGCTCAAGTCTGAAGGCTGAGGCTGATGACACAGAGAGGTAGCTTGATAATTCATGATATAACGCGAAAACCGCATTCAATAATTGTTTTATTGTACATTTATTATACAATCTGCCTAAGAAGACACTACTCTTTGAGTTTGTAAAAAGTTTGAGAACACTAGGCGGATGAGGGGCTTGGAAACTACGCAGACTTTGAACCCAATATTTGCTGCAGATGTTTAGTTATCATGTCAACTTCACCCGCTATTGTATATTGACTGTATGCTCTCGACCAATCAGAGTTTTCATAGTATGTCCAATAAGAAGCGTTTTATCTTCACGTATAGATTATCTATAAGCGAGTAAAGCTTACAACCTTCCTAGCCTATCTAGTCAAACTTACAAGGGATTCTCCCCTATTCGTGTCACATCAGACGGTGGAAAAAGCAAACTAAAGTTCACTGGAGGAAAGCACTCCTCACGTTCAATGACAAGCGCAATTTCCAGTACATCAAGCTTTCTTTAAGATTGCACTCTGCCGGCTCCAAATTTCAGCGGGAATTCCCTCACGGAGCAACCCACAAAATCCAACAACAAGTATGTTAATGCCTTTACACTTTTGACCATTTCTTCTTCAGTATCACAAAAATTGTGTGAATATAGATGGCAAATATTCTATGGTTCTCTTAATTTCAAAAAAGAGAAGACAATTAATAATGGGTTACCTGGGGATACAATTTTGTTAACATTTTCTTTCCAAGCTGGTGAATTTCGTCCGGTGTTTTGCTAATTGTTGTGAAATACGGTAGGATCGATTCATACGCTTTCTTGCCGTCCAACGTTTCCCCAGTTGGCAGCTGTTTAGTTGTGCTCACCACTGTTCGAGTCCCATTTAAGTACACATTGGAGAGTGGAAGCTCTGCTAGCCCGCTGGAGATGGAACTCGGTACACAGTACTTGGGGTTTTCTGTTTCTAGGAATCTTAGTTTGAACAGGTGAAGTGTGTTAAATCTCTACGATTACTTTATCTCTGCAAAGGCCTTTATCGTTCGATTATTACAAGGTTTTAAAACAAGAACCACACTTTTTCCAAAGCGCTTTTAAAAGTTATGGTGGTATGAGTGGGGCGCGAAAAGAAATCATTACTTGAGCAAAAAAAATGGTTCTTGTTTTTAATCGCAGAAGCTGCTAGTTTTCAAGAATAAACTTTCTCAGCGTACTTTTTTCAACTTCACCTATGTAAGGTCCTTCCCCTTTCATAATCAACACCTTGTATCTGTGACATTCTTCCTAGTGAGGTCGGTGGGGTGAAGTGATTGCCGGCCCCAAATACCCATAAAAACGTTCTGAATTAAAAACAAAAATTAAAACAAAACAAAAAAAAACAAAACAAAAAAAAAAAAAGCAAAAGCAAAACCCAAACGGCAAAAATGAAACAAACAAACCTGATTACATCATGGATGGGTTTGCCGATATATTCTTCAGCGTGTTCCCGAATGGACTGGTTCACAGTCTTCCCAGTGTCCTTTTTCCACTCGTCCAAGTGGTGTGGTTTTAAATCAGATACGAAACGTTCAGAAAATATTGGCTTCATGAAGTATTCATAATGAATCCCTTGAGAAAACACAAGAACGTATCGCAATTAATCTCGCAAAAAAATCTAAATCTAAATGGATCTCAAATCTATGTTCCCTCTTACAGTCGGAAAACACTTGTATCTTTTGTTTTCCTTCATTACGCTCGCTGTACACCCTGTCACTTTCCAACCTTAGGCCCTCATTCTGAGGGGTGCCTGTGGTGTTCCCTTTTTATCATCGACGCCAGTCGACAACAGTGGCGGATCTAAGGGCACGGGGGGGCCCGGTTCCCCCCTTATTTTGGGTGAAAATATAAACGCAGAGGGAAGAAAAGCCGGCAGGTGAAGACACTCAAAACAAAAACCTAGTTAATTCTTGAAATGCTTGACATTTTCCGTATCTTGTAGCAATGAATGAGTTGTCTGTGATCGGATCCTTTGTTTGCACAAGGTTGTTTCGACGTAAAAATACAAGAATTTGGTGAGAAGTCATCGCTTCTTCACCGCCATATTATTACAAATGGATTAAGGAAATGTTGATACGAGGGAGGCGAACTTTTTTGTGATTAATCATGAAATATGTCATTACCTCTACCGATTAACTTCTCACCTTCTCCCGGCGCCGGATTGTGTTGTGCGGGAGGTCGAAGGTTCGAGCCCCGACCGGACTGTATGTCTGTCTGTCTGTATGTATGCATGCATGTATGTACCTTACGTGAAGTTTATTGTGAAATTGACATCGCACAATGGTCGATTCCGGCCCCACCAAACTAATCGATATTTTCATATCTTGATGGTTGAACGTATCAAGTTAACCAATAGCATTTTAGGATAAGTATAAACAATGGTCACACCATATTTCACGGGGAGACGAAAAAAACAAGCCGTCATTTTTAGTGCTAGTGCCAGACCCTCTGCAAACCTGTCCCCAACCGGTCTCAAATCTCTTTGCAGGCGGAGAAGGCTAATTATAGAGAGATTTGCCACCGCGTTTAACGGGCAGCCCTTTCACGTTTGACGTAAAATAGCGCGAACCTTACCGCTTTAGCGAGCGAGCTCACGCCATTTCGGAATGCACTGGAAGCCGTCTCATGAGCATGAGCTTTTGCAGCTGTCTGCTGAAGAAAAGTGCGGCATTTGAAGAATTTTCAACATGAAACTTCATCTGCCCTTTTATTCCTTACAGGAAATAGTTTTGGTGCACTTTTTCCAGTATTTAACTTTTACTCTTTGAGCGAAAAGGCGAAACCGCTTCCTTTCAACGTAGAAACGGCAAAGCGCGACCGGGAAACGTGAAAAAATGGCGGGAAAATTGTGGTCAGGTGGTCACTATTGCCATTCAGCTTGAACGCGGTGTTAAATTTCTAATGTAGTCTCCCTCGCAGCCGTTTTTAGTCTCGTCACGCAACGCTTCTCCCCACAAACGGCTGCTCACATTCGAACAACATTCCTTTCCGCTACTTCAACCAATCACTATTTGGGTTACATATGTTGAGAACTGTACGCGCCAAAGTAGTCTAACCAATCATATTGTTTGTTTCATCTTCGAGTTCAAAGCTTTGAAAATGGCGTCCTTTGAAGAAGCGTTTAATGTTGTTAGTAATACATTTCGAATTCCTAGTTTAAATGCGCAGCAAAAAACTGGAATTAGGAAAATAGTTGAGGAAAGAAAGGATGTATTTGTCAATCTTCCTACTGGTTTCGGGAAATCTCTCCTGTATGAAGCACTACCACTCGTGTTTGATCTTACCTCACAAGAGCCTGGTCATATCGTCGTCGTTTTCTCACCATTGGGGAAAGCCTTATGAACGACCAAGTGTCCCATTTGAGGGAGCTAGGGCTAAAAGCTGGTAACATAAGTTCACTTGAGGGTGGTAAACGCACTCGTGTCGAAAGCGGCGAATATTCCTTAGTTTACGGATCCCCTGAAGCGTGGTTAAGGAACGAACGCTGGAGATTTATGCTGACGAACTCTGTGTATTCCATGCCAAAAAACTCTGTGCCATTGCCGTCGATGAAGCGCATGTTGTAAGGCAGTGGTAAGTGTTTCAATAAAAACGAGTCTGCAGCAAAATGTTATTTTACATGTATGTTTTAAATTAAGCAGTATAAAGGAAAGGACAATAAGAATGTAAATATTGTAAATAGAAAATGTAAATAGTTTAGTCAGTATTAGTATTACACTGTGGTCTTATTTTGGTTATCGTTATTTTATTCTGTCTGTGTTATATTACACATGATCACCTGTAAAAATATTGTGTCTAAATACAAGACATTATCATCGCAGTATACACTTCTGAGTGCTTCAGATTACCAATAAAATTGATATTGGGTGCCATGGTGTAGCCTATTTGATTGTCACTACTACATAGATAAAAGCTAAACTTTTTAAAATTTTATACCCCTAGACCCTAAAAGGAAGTAAATGTCCCATCAACCTATTAAAACTATGCTTGAAACTAACGTCATTTAGGGAACTTAGTCTGACAGGACCTGTCCCGACACAAATAAAACCTAAAAGTTCTAAGATGGTAGACCCCTAGACCCTAAAATGGAGATAAATGTCCCATCAACCTATTGTAGGNACTGACAACTCGCTGGTCGCTGAATAGCAGCTCACATTCACATCCAGACAGGAACTAATATTCGCCGGAAAATCAAAAGAACTTTTTCCAAAAACATAAATTTTTTCTTTTGTCTCAACTGAGGTGGAACAAATAAAAGAACGATCACTTTGCAAAACCTTCTTCAGGGTTTCCTCCAGCAAGAAACTACGATGAAATGCAGAATTTGAAAACGCGGGAATAACGATAGTGATTACAATCTCTTGTGCTCTGATTGGTCGCATAAGAAACAATGTCAGCGATCTCATTGGTGCAAAGACAACAAAGGGAAAGGAATGTTGTTCGAATGTGAGCAGCCGTTTGTGGGGAGAAGCGTTGCGTGACGAGACTAAAAACGGCTGCGAGGGAGACTATTTCTAATGTGGCTCTGTTCGTATGCTGCGAACGAAAGATTGCGTGCAGGCTGCACAGCAAGACTCAATTTATCTACACGCAGGCCAATTATAACAGGAAACATATCCACTTTTTTAAGTTTGCCCTTTGCTCCTTAGTTAAATAAACTTCACATACCTTTCACTCCTTGAAGCGATACTTGCAAATATCTTCGTTTGAATGATGTTAATCCAGCATTGCATTCTTCTACAGAACGCACCATACCAGCTGTGATACCTAGACGCAAGTTTTCGATATACGTCGAGAACGTGTGTGCCACTAACTTTGTTTTATCCAGAAACACACGTAATTGGGTTAGGTCTCGAGGGTGGAAATTTCCGAGACCCATTCGGATATCGGAGTACCCAACGTGGCAAATAGGTTGCCAACAAAACAAATTCGGCCCCATAAGGAAATCACCAGCGTAGTAATCTGAGTCGTAAGGTTGTCCGAAATTGTTTTGGAGGTAGTGCTTGAGTTGAGCCACGGCTTTCTTCTCACGCGGCTTCAAGCGAAGCGTGTTGACACCCAAATCTTCCAGTTCATTTACCAGTTGTCGCGCAGTGTCAGTGATTCGCTTCAAGTTTACGGGTTTCGGATCGTACGGTTTGAACTTTGTCAAATACTCGTCTGGTTTCACACCACCGGGTTTGTAAATCAAGTTTTGCGGATGAAGTTCAAAGTACGTGTCCTGAACTTTTTGCAGAAATCTATCCAAGCCCGCTCGCTTTGCTTCAGAGGAATAACTACCTCGACCCTCAGGATGTTCTTCGGTACTCGTACATTCCTCATTCTTGGCTTTTGAGACCAAAACTACTCCAACGATGAGAATAATGACGCCAGCTAAAGCGACGACTCCAGCGATAAGCTTTAAATTATTACAACTTTTCAGCTTTGCCATTATATTTCAGTCATTTAGCGAGAACTCATCTGTGTTTGTTTACAAAGTGAAAGACACTCTTTGCGTGAGAGACACTTGACACATCTCATCCAACTGACGTCTGACGTGTGTAAACACTGTGGAGTGATAGAGGGGAGACTGAGTGATTTTAAAAGTGTGTAATATTGGTAAGGACATGGAAATATCAGGCAAGGTAACAACAATAGACCTCTTTACTTTGAATTTTTTTTTGTACCCATTTCATGTCTCAAGAGAATTCCCGGCTTTATCTTTCATAAATTATGCGTACATAAGTCTGTGAATTAAAAGAAAATTGAAAGAACCAAGCTCTCTAGTGTTAACGAACAAGCTAAACAGGTCTATTGGTGGAGGAGCGTTTTAATCTAGTAACCAAAAACACGGAGGAGATGTATGGGAATGTATAGGTGGTTTACAACCAATCTCCAGAGACACAGGTAACAACGGTGAAAGGAACAAATGCTGGTGGACGAACAAAAGGAGCTAATGAGATGTCTATTGTTTACGTCCACCAACATGGCGGCAATGACGTAACGTGCAAACCACCTATATCGAAAAGCTTCTCACAGGTTTCGGAATGATATACTGAGATGAATACATAAATCCAACTCCAAATGAAACTCTTTTTTTTAGCGAAATGCTGTGCTAGTTTGCTCCTTGCAGCTGCAATGATCGATTTGCCTTCAAGGTCTATGGGCTTTCGAGTAATACACGATTATTGAAAAATGAAGAGAATGTTTCTCCCAACTATGTGTAGTGTATTACACAGAGCCTTTTTTCCAGCAAAAAAAAAAGGGGGGGGGGCGGAAGGGGGAAGAGGGAAGTAACCTGAGCATAGCTCGACATGAAAATGGCAGTGAACTTTTTTTATTTTTGGTCAAACCATACAAATTAGCGCTGTAGTCCAAGTGGCTGTTGAACGAATCTGAGACATATACGTCGCAGGTTACTCTATAGTTGTAGCTCCAGTCACAAAAGGACAGTCGTATTTTGGCTTCAATTCTAGTGTGTAATTAATATCGTTTCCGCTGTTCTTTACCTCACGTCATCCTACATCGCTCTCGGTCTTTAACATTGCTATGATTCTTTCCCTTCTCGTTGCTATGAATTTCTTTTTTATCATTTTTATCGTAATTTTCATCTAAATTGTCATCGTCAATTCACTGCTTATTTCTGCAACTGCTCGTAGCTGGGTTATATGTAGTCTTCTAAAAAGGGCCTCTCTACTGGCTCGAAACTTTCTTCCCCAATCACACCCACAAACTCACTGACTCCCTCTCCCTCGGGGGCCACAGGGTTCAGCACGTCCTTACATCCTTCTTGGTCCTTGTCTTTGGCACATCGAACATATTCGTGAATGCCTTCCTCTAGATAGCTAAACGGAGCAGAACCTTGTGCTAAGAGATAGAAGTGAAAGTCTTTCAGATTGAAATCGTCTCCAAGTTCTTTGGTGGCGTAATCTCGCAGCTCCATGATTTTAAGCTGACCAATCATATAGGCAGTTGCTTGTCCTGGACCACTCTGGTACCTAGTTATCTCTTTCTCTGCCGTGTCACTAGTGTCCCAGGCGTACTTGGCAAAGTAGCCAAGTGCTTCATCGCGTGAGAAACTTTTGTAATGCAAACCTGTGTCCACAACAAGGCGGAGAGCACGCCAAACCTGGAACAGTATGATGCAAAAATAATGGAGTGATAAGGCATGAGGTGATCCACGTGATAATGTCAATTAAAATTCATGTGATGAGTATAAAAGAGAGACCAAACAGGCGAGCAGCTGGATCATTATCATGTCTTCTCACACTAATCTGAAACTTTCCAATCGACTGACCGACACCAGAGCAAGTGGTTCAAAGTCAAAATGGCTGAGTAACTTACTGATCTTCCAAACGAAAAGCCAAATGACTAAAAACATCCGGTTAACTGAACCAATGGCCAACTGGTCATGGTGATTGATTAAACGAATGTAGGACTGTCATGAAAGCATTCAAAAGAATTAACTTAGGATTATGTAATGCATTTTTTTTACTCTCCTAGGATATGTCTAGTCTGTGGTATTTGTATTCATTACATAATTTGTATTCTTTACTTGTGTAATTAACCTTTATTCTTGATATTCAATAGTTTTCTTCCCTTTTTCCTCGCACCTTGCATCCGTATATAATGAAGGATTTGGGCACGGTTACGAAGAAGTGAGGTGACGGTTTGTGAGTTACGAGCGAAGAGCGTGGAAAAATTTGAGGGAACGGAGACTCGGCACAATATCATTTCTGACAAATTCATTCAGAAAAATCGTTCCCCTTCACGGTAGAAAATCATTTGCCGGAGAACAGGTGTACAAAGAATCTACCTGACTGTGAGCTAAAGGAAGAAGAGACAGCAACTGATTCAACAAGAAGTCTAAGCGAGTCAAGTTACGAGAACTAAAAAGTTGAAAACTGCAAAGTTTTCAGAAGACGAAGCAAAGTTGAAACGAAGGAAACGAGCAAAGTTGAAAAGAAGGAAACGAGCAAAGTTGGAAACTGCTGAGACGGGAACCTGGTTGGAGAAACGGGAGTTTGGTTTGGCAAAGCACCGTTTGTTGGTGGAGCGTGGTGAGTTGTCAGACAAGACAAGAACACGGACGCGGGCGTAAGGTGAAACCTAACCGAACTGAACTAAAAAAAAAAATGAACCCTACCTTTTTATCTTAATAATACTCTTGTAAATATAGTTAGCGCATTCTAGTTTTAAATATTACGTTCTTGTAAACTCTTGTAAAGTAATTTAGGTAAATAATTTAGCAATTTAGTTTTATCGTATTATTGTAATTAGGGTGAATAATTTAGTTCATTGTTTTTTTTTGTCGTTGTTGTTTGTAATTGTTAATTACCATATTGTCTTACTTAGAGTAATAAATATTTCGAGGCCTACGTTTAGTTGTGCTGTGGCGTGTTTTCTCGGGCTTGTTCAGTTTTGTGTATGTTGGATGGCGCCCACCTTTGACTGATGTTTTAGAAAAGTTTCGAGAGGAATAACGAATTACTTACCTGCCATTTTAGCATACCATACTTCTGAAAGGGTTCGTTGTCATAGACATTTGTTTCTTTAGCAATCAGCGGATTCTCAGCGTAAAGCGCCCAGCCTTCAGTGAAGGCCGTGTAGTAAGTGGACCTGTCCAGCCAGCCAATCACACCTCCACAGCTATCACGGAAATGCTCAACAAGTCCTTGTACCTAACATGTAGACGAAATAATGATTTAAGGCAAACAATGGTAGAGGAGCTTTGAGCAAGTCAGCAATAGCTTTTGATTTACAGCGAGAATCTGTGGGTATGTTTAGTTCGTACTTACGATGACGATGAGACTCAACACTTTAAGAGTCGTGCTAGCGCAAAATGACGGAGAGAGGGAGAGAGGATGGACACTGGTTAGTCAGAATACCTTTCAACGAAAATCTCTCGTCTATCTCAACCGCATTTACACGTTAAAAAAAGAGAAAGAAAAAAAAAAAAACCTTGTTCGTATGTCACCTGTGTGTGGTGCCCAGGTCTCGCTTCATGCGCATTCACACTCCACTCAGAATACTTGGGCCCAGGCCTTTCCATGAAAAACGGAATGTTGTAAAGAGAGTTTCTGCTGCAGTCTTTGGTGCTTCGTAAGTAACTCTGTGCTCCTTTCGACGGGTTGAAAGATGGTGCCATATCTATTGGGCAGTTTGGTGTGGTATGCTTAAGGCCGGAAAAATGAAACATGTCGTTTGTCTGAGGGTCCAGCATACTCATAACCTATAATGAACGAAGCCCATTAGCAATTAAAACTCAAAATCATGAATCCTTTGTCCCCTGGAAGCAAGGTGAAATGGAAGGAGCAGGTGGCCAGTAAGACTTTTAAAGTAAAATGGAGAAAAAAACAATGGCATAAACGCATGGAGGAAAAGGACCAACAAATAAATGAACAACAATCACAACAATTCTCAGAATGAGGTAAGAGGCAATAAATTACCCTCCTAGCCTCTGAAAACCAGCTTTGCATAGCCTCCCAGCGTACTGGACAATACTTCATTGCTCCTTCTGCAGAGCTGCAAAGCTTGTTCGCGTTTTCGTCGGACTCATTGGCAGGGATCGGCTTTTCCGTAAAATACATGTCCGATTCATTCAATCGCTTGATAAACTGTGCCTTCGCTTTGTCCTTGTCAGCCTGTTTCGTCACATCACGTGCGATTTCAAGAACCTACAAAAATGTATTATTCATGATTATTCCTTAAATTGTTGGAGACGTTTAATTTTTTCTAGATAAATTAGGTCAAATGTTTCGATTTTGGTAACACCAAAAGTAAGCTATCGAACTATCGAGCAAAAAGTGGGAACAGGAGAAGTAAACACCTTACATATTCATACACTCCACACCAATGCAACACCCTCCATCGCTGAACACAATGCAAATGATTTGAAGAAAACAAAGAAATGATTTGGACTCTCTAGTGGTCTCCTTCTTAGACGTGTTGGTTTGTGCGTTAATTTTTTTTTTGCGTGTGTGTGTTGACTTCGTCCTCTTTGTTTTATCTTCATTCGTGATGAAGGTTATTCTGAATCACAAGATTTAGAAATGCAAATACGTGACTTTACCTCAGGGTAAAGTTTCTTAACCATCTCGATTCCTAGCTGGTGAACTTGGTCGGGTGTTTTGGAGATCGTCGTGAAATATGGTAATATCGATTCGTATGCTTTCTTCCCGTCCAGATTTTCCCCGGTTGGCAGCTGTTTCGTTGTGTTCTCCGCTGTTTGACTTCCATTTACGTACACATGGGAGAGTGGAAGCTTTGCAAGGCCACTTGAAATAGAACTTGGAACACAGTGCTGAAGGTTCTCTGTTTCTAGAAATCTGGTACGTACAAATTGCTTTATGAAATAAGAATTGAGACCCCTCACTCAAAATGAGCCTTACAATTCCACTCACAAGTCCATTAACAGTAAAAGAGCTTTACTCGAGGACATGACTAATTCATCGATAAATTAGGAAAGGCCTTACCTGATCACATCTAGAATAGGTTTACTGATATATCTCAGGGCGTGTTCCCGGATGGAGTCGTTCACAGTCTTCTGACTCTCTTTTTCCCATTCTTCAAAATGGCTGGGCTTCAAACCAGCCAGAAACTTGGCAGAAAAAATGGGTTTCATGTAATCTTCATCAAAAATTCCTCAAAGAAAACGACAACACAGGCGAGATTCAATCCAGTTATCACGAGATGTGGAAGACAACTTCGGCGTCTTTGTTCTCTTTTTAATACTATTTTTTGCGTGAGTATTTCATTTGTTGGTATTGTTTCAGTGTTCTTAAAAAAAACAGAGTGATCAGTGACTAAGTTCACCCAAAAATATAAGTATGGCTAGTATCTGCTAATGATCATAATCGTGGCGTCACGCAACATCCAAAGGAGCGTTGCATGACAAAAACCTTATCAAAGTGAAAAACAAGTATGGAGCGTGTATGGATGTATTGGAGCAACTTTTTTAAGGCAAAAAGCACTTGAAAACCTTTTTCCGCAAAATGGGATAGAATTTTGAATCTTACAACTAGGTGGCGGGGCCTGCCCCGACCTGTTTGGAAAGCCACCTCCCACTTTTTAGATTCATTTCACATACCTTTCTCTCCTTGAAGCGATACTTGTAAATATTTTCGTTTAAATGCGTCTATTCCAGCTTTACATTCTTCAACTGAGCGAATCATACCAGCTTTGATACCGAACCGCAAGTTCTTGACGTATGTCGAAAAGGTCGCTGCCACCAACTTAATTTTATTAAGAAATAATCGCACATCGTCCAGATTATTGGGGTGGAAATTTCCCAGGCCATACCTGATATCCGAGGACCCGACGCTGCATATCTCTTGCCAGCAGAACAAATTTGGTCCCATTAGAAAATCCCCAGCATAATAATCTGAGTCGTAAGGCTTTCCGAAATTGTTTTGGAGGTAGTGCTTGAGTTGAGCCACGGCTTTCTTCTCACGCGGCTTCAAGCGAAGCGTGTTGACACCCAAGTCATCTAGTTCATTTAGAAGTTGTTGAGCTTTGTCGGTGATTTGCTTCAAGTTTTTGGGTTCCGGATTGTACGGTCTAAACACTTTCATAAACTCCTCATTCTTAACACCCCCAGGTTTGAAAATTAAATCTTGAGGATGAAGGTCATAGTAAGTATCTTGAACTTTCTGGAGGAATTTTTCTACACCCGCTCTCTTTGCCTCATCGGAATAACGACAACGATTTGCGTCTCCCCCGCCGATTTGACCAGAGACACCGGCATTGCACTCTTCGCCGGATTTGTCCTTAGCTTTGGTAATGAGGACGATTCCAACTATGAGTAGAATCAACCCTAGCAAGGTTATGACACCGGCAACAATTACCAGCGCATTTCTATTCTTGTTGAATACCATCTTCCCAGCAACGTTCAAAGTCTCAAATGGAGATTGATATGATACTGCTTGGACTTTGTAGGTGTCTAAGTATTGTCTTGCCGTTGACATAATATAACCCACTTGGTAATTAATTTAATATCTCCATTCTTATTGGTTCACTAGCTTATTTAAAGGAAATACCTAAGTTGTTCCATTATTGAACCCTTCCTTCACCAAACTGTACTCTGGCGTGGTTGGACAGAGGCTTAGATAAGCTATCTTAGATGCCTGCCTTGGCCCTGAAATGCTGTATATCTATCTATCGCATAATCCTCGCCTGCGTCGTAACAACATTAACTGACCGTAGATTGAAACCTGTCAAAAGTGTTCAAAAGTGTTTTCACAATAGTGTATGTTTAGTAAAGTACTAAGTCGACATGGCGTGTTAACTCTGTTTGATATCAATATTCGTACCGCCAATCTCATTGGCTAAAGCTAGAAGACTTAAATCGATCGAGTTATTTGTACAAACATTCAGTGAATGCCTGGGTAGTATAGACATATCTTCGCTAAATTGCACATTGGTATCATTTTACCTCGTTCTACTGAGGTCTTAGAAAAGCCTCCATGCAATGTTCACATAGCGAGTGGCGAAAGAAACACGTGGTCGTTGTTTCACGACTTTTTTGTCGTAAGGTAAGAGGCCGGAAGAACGTATTGGCACTTATATTAGTTTGTAAATTTGGTAAGAGCGGCAAATGTAATATGATTTCTGAATTGAATTGCTGCACTTGAATACGTAACTCATATTTCAACCTGCGACGAAGTGATCTCGAGGGTCACTTCAATGAAACTAGCAAAAAGGAACGCGAAAGCGAACTGAATCAAAAACCGGCATCTTAAATCCTTCGGTTTTGATAGAGTTTTCATTACACATTAGCCCCCTAACATGTCCATTCTCCTTGAAAACTGTCTCTAATATTGACCTTGCGCTTCTTACCGTGAAATATTTATTTAGATCCCAGGATCACGTTACGCACAAGCGTTTTGAGCTGTTCACCTAGCAGACATGGAGAAACCAAAGAACTATTATGTTCTGAAAGAGACAGAGCCACCCTCAAAGAAGGCTCTTTATATCGCTGTAGCCGTTGCTGTTGTGTTATTCCTGGTGGGATTAATTCTTATCGTGGTTGGTGGAGTTTTAACCTCCAAATCTAAGAAGGAATGTGTAACTCCTTCTGAAGCACCCATGGTGAAACCTTCGACTTCGACTTGCAAGTATTCCGCCGAAGCTAAGCGCGTGGGATTGGACGAATTCCTTCTTAAAGTGAAAACTACCTATTACAAGATGAATCCCAACAACGTGGTTTACGATCCTGATTCGACGCCGACGACCATTCGCGAGGATTTCAGCCCGTACGAAGCTCATCCGGAGGCCATTCGAAAATGGACAGATGCGGCCAAAGCACTTTATAAAGAGGCTAAGGCGCTCGACACAAAGGCAGACAGCGCTAAGATGAAGCCACGTGAAATCAAAGCAATCGCGCAAGTAAAGCATTACCTCCAAAGTAACTTCGGCGCGCCCTACGACGAGAACTATTACGCCGGAGATTGGATGCTTGGTCCTAATAAATTCTGTTGGCAGCCCATCTGCAGCGTGGGGAACGACCTCAAGGCTCATTTCACGTATAAGCAATGGGGTATACGACCCAAGACGAAGAGAGACTTGACATTTGTCGTCGAACATCTGAAAAAGCTTCATGATTCCTTGGTGCAATACATCGAAAATGTTAAGTACGGAGTACGAGCAGGATTTGTTCGATCAGAGGAGGACTGTCAAGACGGCCTATATTCCATTAAACGCGCCTATCTGAAAGTGTCACAACAGGGCCCTCGGGGTAAGTTTTTGAATCTTTTGGTTCTTTCAAACTCAGAAATATGGTGACGGATGCTGAGTCTATCGCTGCGGGGTTCAGTTTGACTTGAGTAATTTCATTCTTGGATCTAAGATCTCTCACGAAACTTACCATACTAAGGCTCTAAGGAAAATGTGCTATCAAGAAGCGGGTCCCAACGTGAACGGTAAATTGTGTGACTGATGGTCACGGGGCGGTTATTGCGAAAAAGTGAACCTGTGCGGGTCCGCGAATGATTCCAGGACCGCAAATGATCCCCAAATATTGGACCGCAAATGATCTCGGACCGCAAATGATCTCGGACCGCGAATGATCCCCACACCAAACCTCAAATGATCCCGACTAAAAAATAAGGAATGGCATGGATGCTGAAATAGTGTGGATAGGAATTGGCGTGAACAGTGATTATCATGGCTCACAACTAGCATCTTTTCCACACTTTGTGCTGAACTTTTTTTTATTAACTCTAACAACTGACAACTGACAAATAAAACTGCTGATTTGAATTGCAGGCCAGAAGTTTTGTTTTCTTTGCAACCAGAATCCCCTTAACAGATTTTCTTTAATGACGCAACATACGCCTCGTATCTTTCCTCAGCTAAACATTGTTATTTTGGTGTTACAGTATCTTCAAATCAAATCTAATCAGTCCAATAACGCCAAACGACTGATAACAACGGCAGCAACAATAACAAGAACTTGATGTTTTACATAACAAGATTCCGTCCAACTTATGCAGCGCTGCTTGCTTTTTCGTTGTCATGTGTCTTCAGCTAAAGTTCTTAACTAAAACTCCTCCAGGAGGCAACTATTGCAAAAAACGCTGTCGTCTGAATAAAATTTAAACCTGTAACGCTCCACCTTCACCGCTCTGAAAGACACCGAGTGAGTAACAATCGAACTGCCTTCCACTTAGTTATTTTCCCCTCGCCGTATTTCTGCTTTAATTCCTGGACAACTGCTAGTTGGGAATTCTGCGATGCTGTTGGTTCCAGGCTATGGTAATGAAGCTCAGCTTCCTGGCCCAGCAACGGGCCAACGAGCATCCTGCACAAAAGACTTTTTTCAACAGGCAATCGATGAAATCAACTGCGGAAATTTAATTTTTTTTTACAGCTATCATACTATGTGTGCATTTTAATTCTCTGTTGTCCTTGTGATTTTTACATGCTCGATTTCACTGAAATCACACGTGCACCGGAAGCATTGATCATATGCAACAGAAATGAAATCCGCTTAAGCATGTTCTCCAACGTTCTACACAGTTAACAGAAGATTCGCAGCCCACGATCACGACAAATGTCTTTAGAAAATTATTGTACTACGCTAAAGGTCTTGAAATGGACAAAATCTTTGGCCCTTAAAACGGTGTGTGTTACTTGACAGAACGTCACGCAATGTCACAGATTTTCCGCTAAAATCGTACAAAAAAAAAATCAGCTACGGAATATTTCTTAGAAAATAATAAAACGTTTTTTCACATCAAACCATGCCATTCTTTATTTTTTAGTCGGGATCATTTTCGGTTCGGTGTGGGGATCATTTGCGGTCCGGGATCATTTGTGGTCCGATTTGGGGATCATCTGCGGTCCGATTTGGGGATCATCTGCGGTCCGAGATCATTGCGGTCCTGGGATCATTTGCGGACCCGTACAAACCTCTTTTCGGATTAGTGGAAGGTTCGTGACGATTCTATCTGAGAAGTATATTGCGTTATTTCCTCATGCGTTTTCAGGAAATGGCGCTCTGGAAGCAATGCTGACTAAACTAACAAAACAAACAACAGATCTCACTTTAAATCTTAAGACAACAAAGGGAAATATAAAAATAGTTGACTCAAAAAGTCAATCAAAACAAGAAACACAAACGCAGGCAATGAATTGGATAAATTGTTTGTCAATCCTACAAAATTGAATAGCGGGTAAAGGTGATAAGACAAAGCCTTATCGGATAACTCGTTTGACTATCTATTGATAATCTGGGCATCCTAAGACCAGTTTTGAAGGGTATGCCACCTTATAAAGAACAAAAACAAACTGAAAGGTCTTCCCCGAGAGACTCACTGATTCCTTGTAAAATCCAGACTTTGAAAGGTTTCATCTCTTCCTGAGATCCTGGGTTACATTAAAGTTTATTTGTCATTGACGGGTCAATCTTTTTAACTCAAAGGTTTTGAGCTTTCTTTTCTTTGGCTTGTTTTCATTTGGATTAACGCTGTATCGGAACTTTTTTTTTAACACATATTTCATCTGACAGGAGTTCTGAACGAATCGTATACGAAAGAGATGCTTGATCCAAAATGGCTGGCTGACCTCCCAAAAGATGTATCTGATGCATGGGAAAAGGAACACAAAGAATCTGTCAAGACGTACGTAAATGAAGCTCTTGTCGAGTATGTGGGGAAACCACTGGACAGCTTGCTGAAATACTTGGAGTTCGAACATTCTCAATACTGCGTCCCCAGTAACATTTCTAGCGGTCTCGCTACGCTACCACTGTCATATATTTACATAAACGGTAATAACACCGGGACACAAACCACTGGTAAACTCCCAAATGGTGACCCGCTGGACGGAAAGAAAGCCTATGAAATGATATTACCTTACTTCACCACGAGTATGGAGATGACACCTGACAAAGTTTACAAACTAGGGCAGACGATGCTGGATAAGCTTTATCCGCGAGCAGTGCAAATAGCAAAGGAAATAACAGGGCAGCAGGACGAAAACCAGGCAGTAGCAGCATTTAAAAAACGTTTGGAAGAACAGAGTATGTTTTTCAATGACGAGAAAATTCCTGAAAACGAGAGTAACAAGGATGCATTCGAGAAGTGTACCAGTATGGAGCAGGCCAAAATATACTGTCCTAAGAGATACAAAGCAATGTTGACCTGGTTTGACTATGTTAACAGTAAGTAAAGAGAACAACGATGTAGTAAAGAGAACACAGATGTTATTGGTGTAAAATATGCGGTACAAAGAGGTAAAAAAAGAATCGGTTCAAAGGGATTATATGGTTTTTGATGCTTTTCTCTCTTTTTCATTTTTTAGGAAGTGAATGATATAATTGCACTACTTACCAAACCTCAAAACAGTAAAATTAACATTGTTTAATTAGTTCGACAAGAAGTTTCTGATCGCCCTTATGCATACGCAGAGGAAATTAAATATATTTATTTTTCCCGTTTATTTCTGTCTTTCAGAGAAGGTTGATCCAGTGCTGAAGCCAAAATGATTAACAAAGGCAAATGTTATTTTCAGTTAAAGTGAAGGATTTAAATCAAACCAAAAACTCGTGTGAATTAAAAACATATTATTCTATCTAAAAACATAGCCTTAACTTTGTCAGAACTCACTGACAGATTTGTCACCTTTTGTTTCTTACTTAGCTGTTTTAAGTGATCTTGCCCCGAAAACCAATCACATGTTTCATTTCACTGGTAAACACCAGAGCACACCCAACTGTCCAGTCAAGCTGGTAGCGAATTTTAACCCAGGCACTGGCTCCCAGAGCTATAGATCCAGCGATAGAGACTGTACCAGAAATGCACTGTACCGGTTACCGTTCTATTTGAAAGACATGGGACCAAGATACAATGCCATATCCGTGGGTGCTCACGAGGCGAGGCCTGGACACCATACGCAGGTATTTTATTCTGCTTTTCTCCTCAATGAGGTCCACCTCTAGGGATAAATTCGTGACGGACTACCAATACTCCCGAGATTCTAAAGTGATTTTATTGATTTCACTGAAGTATTATCTCCTCTATGACTAGGTCCAGGGTTTCACAGAATTGTTCGGGGACAGCTGTGAAGGCGTGATACGCTGGTTGAATGCCGCTTCCTACTATACCGCGTTTACGGAGGGCTGGGCACTATATGCTGAGAATCCGCTCATCGCCGAAGAAACAGACACTTACAAAAACAACCCGCTGCAGTTGTATGGCATGCTTAAGTGGCAGATATGGCGGGCATTGCGCTTGATGATGGACACTGGCCTTCATTACAAAGGTAGGTTGGGTTAATGATTCTTGGCAGCCTCTGCCGACAGACGATTTAGCCAGGAGACTTTTCCCTAACCCTTAGCCTTATTGCAAAGGGGTTTCCGAGTAATCAAAATTTGTAACACCAAAATTTAAGCCCTTGGGTTTTTCAAACTTGGCAATGATCTAAAATACGTTTAGAAAGGTTCTCTTTGTAATAATGTCTTCATTGGGGATTTCGTCTTTTGACCGTATGTGTATCGCCACCAACTACCGGCCATTTATATGTTGATTAATTGGCAAGCATTGTCTTCAGTTATCCCCGCGTGTGTGAGTGAGAGTATGACTGAAAGCAAATGCTATTTGGGAAATTCGCTTCTGACCTACATATGATACAAATACACTGCATGTAAGTTATCCTTCTGTTGTACAATAATTTCACTGCCTCGCCATTTTCTATCGGATATATTTCAGGAATGAAAAGGTGGGAAGCGCTGAAACTCTTCGCTGACTATGCCTGGGACAAAACTGACAAGGCTGTCAAAGACGTGACGCGCTATCAAAGCGACCCCGGCCAGGCAACCGCTTATATGATTGGCCAGTTAAGGATTTGGCAAGTACGAAATGAAACTAAGGATACCATCGAAGAAGGTAAAAAGAAATTCAGCGAAAAGGACTTCCATTACCAGGTTCTTTCCCAAGGATCCTCGCCACTAAGCTACTTGGAAAGACACCTATCAAAGTACGCTGAGTGTGTTGTCAAACCTGACTTGGATGGCTGTGAATACATCATAAGCAGCCCTTCCAGAGCTGGCGCCTCTACCAAAGATGCCTCTACTAAGCGACCCAAGAAGCCATTTCAACCGCGACCTTATCATGAACACCATGAATAGTTGCACTAGAATAACCCCTCTGTGTTGGAGAATATATACAAAAAGTTGTATTAGTTTTTTAAATGATATCAGTTTTTCTTTATAAATGGCTTAGTAGCTATAATTGCAATAATGGCTTTTTCATTGACGGAAATTGAAGATTCTTCATGACGAAAAATAATCAAAATAGTAAGAAAGTACCTTATACAGAATAGTTTGTATCAAAAATCTAAAATTAGTGGATCCACTGTTATCAGTCAAAAAAGTAATAAAGTAGCTTATAATTATAAATAGCTCGTATTGAAATTCTAAAATCAGTGGATCCAGCCTTATATACTCACTGTAATTGTCTTCATTTGAACATTTTTGTATGGCCAGAGATGCCGTCAATTTAGCTGCTCCATTCCAAAAATTAACTGCATTTTTTTTTTGGTTTGTTTGTCTGTTTTTTTTTTTAATTTTAATGTTGAACTTTCGCATGAAACAGCAAGAAAGATGTCAGTCAGTCTTTCAAATAAATGCTCCCTATATACTGAGCTACAATAAATTTTCTGTGTAGTTTAACATTTAGAGGGCATTTCAGTTTCATCAGCTATTTTGGAGGGCTATCATTGTTATCTGTAGCACCACTTTTACTATCATTATTATTACTGTTATCATCATTATTCTCATTGTCGTTATCACTATTACTACTATTAATTACTATTATTACTATTGGGTTAAGGCAGTTTTCTGTCTCCAGATTCTCTACAGTGGTGTATTGCTCGGCAGATTTTTGACAGCTTTAGCAGGGTTTAGGAATTCCGTTCGCTTTTCCCAAGAACTCTTTGATATAAGTTTCGTTACTCCATTTATCAGTGTACTAGATTTCCCGATTAAGCCAAGGCAATTTTTTTTAATGACAAAAGAGCTTACAACCCAAAGATTTCCGATCAGTGGGAAACGCTAATTTGCGCGATAAGCCGATTATTTAACAGTCAACAAACGACATCAACCTGGGAAGACAGACAAGAAAATTAAATGGGTAAGATATATACTCATTAATATGCGGAAAATCCAAGTTGCTGACAAGCATACGAGATTAGTTCATTATGGGAAAATCAAATCTGAAATCTTGAAAGAAAAAAAAAAAGGACTGTCCCTTTGGCTGTCCAAAGTCTGGATTCTTTTTGTGCTTCTTCAAAAAGCATTTGATGTCAATTGATGTTATTGTGCTTTTTATTTCCTTTATAATTATGTTACCATTGATAATCTTCGATGACAAAAGATTCCTCAACAAATCAAAGCATAAATGGAGATACGAAAAAAAAGCTTGCAGTGAGTAAGCAATACCATGTATGTCGACACAAAAAACATAAACAGCAAGTTGTAAAGAGCGTTAATTTGTCATTAAACAGCAATTCACTCAGAAAAACTCTAAATTAAACATTTTCATTGCTAGTAGGGGATTAATCTGAGCCTTCTGCACTGTAAGCATTGTCGTACGACTCCAACTTCGGAAGTGTCACGAACTTTCCTCACAGTTGCATCACCTGTTCAGGAAAACTGATAATTGCCTTTGTTGGGGGCGAATATACGGGCAACTAACTGGAAATATTCAATTAGAGCTTCTGTTATCCTTGCTGTTTCAATACAAACAGCTTCAGTGACTGAGAAGAGACAAATATTCTGGATAAACACGGGTGTTGGCTCAGTTCTGCTGCCAATATATTTATACGCCGAAATGAAAAAACTGAATTTCCTTTGAAGGGAATTGATTATTTTCACAGGTTTTCGTCGCAACCCGAACAACAAAAAGTTCATTAAATAAGCTAAAATCACAAACTTCAACACTTTCAGGTTTTGTCTATGTACTTGGCTTAGTGTGAGAACTGGCCAGTTGATAACTACAGACGAAAATAATTTGATGAATAATAAAGAAAAAAAATGGCATAAAAAACACTGTAATAGGGTTAAAGACATTAAAAGCCATCGAGAAGCGGTGTTAAGATAACACTCAGCAGGAAAACTACGTAAGAAAAAAAAAAATTAAAAAAAAATTCAAACTGTGTACTTCGCTATTATTGTTAAAGGTAGCACCAAAACAACAAGCATCGGTTGGTCCGGGAAGAAATTGGTGCGTAATAAGAATTAGAGCTAGGAGAAGGCAACAAAAGCAGTTCACTTGAATACTACACCTTACATCACGAAAATATTGATATTGAAAAAGCTACCTTGTACATGATACATGACACGTTCAGTTTAGGAAATCTTGTTAAGTTTTTGGTGATTGTACTCGCAACGTGCTTTCCAACACATCCCAACATGAGGTTGTGAAATTTTACATGACGAATTTTTAAGGCTAGGATGAGGAAATATAGACCCCTACCTTATGAACTGTTTTTACTTTTACATAAACGGAAGGTTGAAAACAGCAAACATCGAAAATTTTCAACGTTTTGCCTTACTTTTCAATCTCTCTCGCGAGGCTGGCTTCGATTCTAGAGAGCCGGGGAACTTTCGCCTTATTGAATCCTCTTGGGAATTAGTCTTAACTCTTTGATCTGGCTTATTTCGGGCAAAGAAACCTAAAATATACATTTTTTAAGGCTGACAATTTTAAAGTTCCGTCTCAAAACTCGCAAAATCAGGAATTTAAGTAAGATACCCTTGATAGCGTGAGATATTAGTGTAAGGAAACCGCCATTGTTAGGAATGAAGCCTATCGACTGAATCAAACCGCAAAAATAAATAACCATGTTTATTTGTTTTCCGTCGCTTAAAAAAAATATATCACAAAGATAGCCAGGTAGCGCGTAGTGTAGAATTCTGAGGTCGAAAAAGGTCTCATAGGATCTCCGACGCAGCCACCTGAATTCTGACAAAATATTGTACATTCCCAGCGAAAGGAAGAGAAACAATAAACTCTAAATCATAAATCTTGACCCAAATTGAAATTTTTGACATTCTGTACAAGAACAGTTGTGTGGCTTAAGGAAACACTTGCAAATTTCTTGATATTTCATAGGTTCTTAATAAATCATCAGTTGAAAGAGTTCGCACTTTTTTTGTAAAGAGCTGTGACAAACACCCCTCTCGTTGAGACACCTTATTTCACCCTTTGTAATTTCTTGGACGTTTGATCATCGATTTAAAGAACGGAGAACACATGAAACACGCCTCTTCTCTGTGTCAGAATAAGCACCTTTGAAAAGTTACACAAAACGGTTAAGTGGTCAAACCACTTTTCTGATGGACGCAGCAAAAATAGGGCATTTAACCCAACGTGGCTATTGTGTTTTCGCACCACGACGCATTTTGGTACAGCTATTTTGCTAGCGTCCCGTTGGGGCCGTAGTGCGTTAAAATCAGTAAGAGTACGCTTAGGTCATGCATTTTACAAGCGATAATAGATAAGTAGGCGGGAAAGAATAAAAACATCTCGGTAGGAAACAATATTTCTTACTGTTTTAAAGTTAAGAATTTTGTCGAAAGCTTATTCGACTTCTCATTCAGTCTGGTTTAGCCAACTCAGAGTTCAGGAAGTAACATGTACAAACTTGACACAAATGAATCGACAATGAGATTTACTTTATTTTCTGGTGGTTATTTCTTCAATAATCATTTCTACCGGCTTGAATTTCAATCATATCACTGAATATCAGGCAAATTAAGTGAAGTTCATTAAAACTTTTCCGCCTAAACTTCATTACAAATTGCGAATTAAGAATATCCGCCGAAATGAACTTTGATCTGAGCCGGCAATTTTGTACTTCTGAAGAATGGAAATTTAAAACGGCTTTTCGTTAAATTTGACCGATCAATAATAAGGCAATACTAATTTTCAGGCACGTTCGTAATTCCTTTTATTCATATTGCTTTTAATAAACCCGGTGCTAAGTAGCAATTAGCAGATTAATTGTACTGTTTATTACTTTCTGTTATTATTGTCTCTCATGTCCCCCATTTCCATGGGCAAAATGGGCAGTCTTAAGTCGAAAATGACTTTGAATTTTGACAGACTAAACCCCAAATTTCACTTAAGTTCAATCATAGGTAATTGTTTGAAACGTGTGGTTTAAAAGTACGACAAAACTGCACTAAATTTCAGCCTACAACTTCAGCCAATTTGATCAGTGATGAAGTCGGCTCTATGTCTTTAAGTAAACACACACGCGATGTCCATTGATTTCCAAAATCAGTTTAATTCTTATAGACCAAAACATTGGCTTTAAATTTAGGAAGGCAGTTTATTAAATAATAAGATTTTTCTGGCATTAAATGTGAAAATGAAAATACAGCGTATGCTACATTCCTTGTAAAAAAAATTAAGTTTGTTTTTGGTGATGTTTCGAGTAAGTTGTCGAACCAGAAGTGGCAAAATCTCTTTCTCACACTGTACTTTCGGTATTAGAATATAAGGCATTTTTACTTTATTGATTCCCCTCATACGTGGCTTTGGTAAATGCGCTCAAAATAAAAAAACAACAACAAAAACAAAAACAAAAACTGAGAAAGCTCCCTATGCGTTTTCCCAAAAGATATACTGAAATACTCCTCCTATATACAATAATAAGAAATCGCAAACATCACTGCAAAATAAGAGGAAATTACTTACTACCGCAGAGGATGCAAGCAAGCTTCAGTTTCGATAATTGTGTACAGCACAGCAGAAACGTTAAGGTTTTCGTCATTAGAATTACACGAAGTGTTTCGTGTCCCTCTTTAAACGATATTTTGCTCAACTTTAATCGACATATGAATAAACCTAATTTTAGACAAACTTTGCTTCTAAGCGAGGTTTCATGGTTTGGATGGTTGTTTCAAAGAGGAAACAGACCAGAAATAATATTACTGAAAAATAACTTGGATCGTAAAGAAATTAACAGCTCGTGTTCTGGGAGAACAGTACGTTGATCCATTACCATCATCATTACCGTTATCACCTTTTAAAAGCTTTATATCCCCTTGGTTTTGGATATAGCACACTAGATTATGGAACGTGCTCACTTGGATTCGTGTATTTCCTAAAATCGGGATAGACGTTCGCTCAACGTTGTCTACAAAATAAAAGCATCTCCTTTCTCCAAAAGCAACTTTGAAGCTACTTTTTTATCAAATTAGCAAAATGTCACAGTGAGGACAAATCATAAATCAATTTTTCCAAAAGTATACTTCAATTTTAACTGTATTATATAATCCCGTAAAGTTATTTGAAATACCAAGAAAATAAATGTCCACCCGTTTTTAAGACGTTTTAACATCTTACATCAAACCGCACAAATGGTTTTAAACCATAAAAAACTAAAAAGCTACTCAGAAAGGTAATCAGTAACAAAAAAATTGATCAAAATCTCATAAATTGTGTTTGTTTTGATGACACCATTCCGTGTTTTATCGTGAAATAGATCAATGGAAGTGTCAAAGCAAAGTGAGCAAAGATTCGTGTTTTAGTCAGAGGTTTGACAAAAAAAAAATGTGAAAGTCCTTTCCATGCTTTTAGCGTTAAGGAGCGTATTTATTCAAGAAGAAAAAGGATAAAAAGCTGGATTTTAACGACCCTTTCCCAGGACGTTCAGCCTAATTCGCCTTTGCATTGTACAACATTAGCGATTTCACCTTCTTTATGAAGGTTATGACACTTGCTGCTCACCTCTAAAGATTACATCTCACGATAAGATAAAACATTTTTCCGATTAAAAAAAAAACTTCGTTCCATAACCGAAATTCCCTCTTGCATTCAGTCTCATCTGAGCTCATGTAGCTAACCCAGCACCCTGCGCCCAGCGCGGATCAGCGGGGTTTACTACACCACTCAAGGTTTAAATGTTCTACACTTTTCGATCGCTTTTAATTTACTGCGCGTGATATTTGCAAATATATCAAATAACTGCTATTAAAATCGCGTCAAATGGCACAAAAACCTGAATGTAATTCATTCAGCAGAGAGAGTGTAGTTCACGTTTTTGTGCATGCAACGTAAACCTCCAACCGAGTTGAACTGTAAAACTTACAAGAATCAAAAAAAAAAATTATGCTAATAGTAAAATATTACGCAAACCGGTTCCAATGCTACAATCTAATACCACTACTGATAAAGAAAAATTCACATCAATCTCTCTCGGTGATTTTCAAATTTATTGTATGTACTCGTACAATACTTCACTAACGCATAACAAGCGAAGCAATTAACGCTCGACCTTAAATTGCATTGACCATGGAACGTTTTTCTCCGCTTTTTTTCCCTTATCATAAAACTCTGAGCACTTAATGCTTTCGTCGATATACTAAGTAAACCTGATAACCAAAAAAGGGGCAGCACAATTGGCATTACTCATACTCGCAGTCGATGTAAGATCCCTTTCGTTTGAAGCTGAATGTAAGGTGTCACGTAAACTTAAGAAATGCGAGCTAGACCTGCCTGAGTTGTTGCCCTAACTTCTCATTTGCCACGATTTATGATGATAACAGCTAAAAACATCTCGCCAATCCAAGCTGACCTGCAGAGAGAGTAGCTGTTGCACCTACAATAGTGCTGACGGTTGTAGCTGGCATGTAAGGTTTAAAAACATCTCGACATCTCCTAAACCTCAAACTTCAACACGGACTGCCGCATTTATCATTACAATTTTTCCACGTGCTCACCCTTTTCTTTCTCTTCTCTTAACTTAACGTTTCTCTTGCTGTCGTTTTTTCATTGGCGGAAGCACGCAACGCTGAACTTTTCAAACTTTTCACGAAAAATTGCGCACGGAAATTCATCGCTACCCTGCTGGGGCGAGTTTTATTTCAACACTAGCAAGAACCCTCGGTTACCAACTGATGTTGCTTAATAAGACCTGCCGTGCTGCCAACTATGACCGCTTGAACAAGGTGAAAATGATTAAATTCTCCTCAATTATATCTTTCGGTTGACTTGATATCAGTATTGAGACCTTGATATCGGAGGAATACCACATTTGGAGGAACAAAATTCTACGTTGGCACGCTGTAAGCAAATTTATTCATTGATATTACAACAATTTAAAAAATAAATCTGCTGGTGCAAACGGCTGGTTTAGGTTATTCCTCTCTTAAACCGTTTAGAAATGAAGGTCGTAAATCACCAAGGAAACGAAGAATACAACCTTTAACAACATTTCGTCGAAAGCTGATAGATAAGTCTCAGTATGAGAGCAGTTTCTCCTTTTCATCTAGAGCGGAACCGCAGAGACACAACTATTCAACAACGTATGTTCTGTACATAATTTATGTTGATCGGAAAACTTGTCTTACAACTAAGAACCTGCACAATGTTGAGTGAAGTCTTTATCTCGGAGTTTCCTGTTGCTATGTTGGCTGTGCATAAAATTGTCCAGAAAAATACACCTGGGAGAGACGAGTTGACGCCACAAATATTAATGCATTAGTTGGTTTTTGTCAAAAATATCGCTTCCACCAAGTAATCATAAAAAAGTCTCTGAAACGAAATAAGTTATATCATGATCCTTTAAAATGAATCCTGCAAAATATCGTGAGAAGTAAGTAGCGCCTACTAAAACAAAATGTATTTTCTACAATTCTTTCGTGAGGACACAAAGCACTTACACGGACATGAAAAAGTATTGTTTTTCTGGTCAAGATTTATTATTTCAGAAGCAGGGCTCACGTGCACGTAATAAAACAGACGGAGATTTTACTTCTAAACAACAATAAACCAACGGTATAAATGACACTGATTAAGCAAAAAATATATGATATACGTACATAAATCGCATCGGAATTTTCTTTACGTTTTAACTGACAGCAAATATAGTTCTCACACTATTGATTTTTCCCTCCAAAATGACCCCCCCAAAAAAAAAGACGAAGAAAGAACAAAGAAAAGAGATCATGAAGTCATCAACGTTCTCCTGTTTCACAAGGCAAAACAAACTTTTCACTTCGTTATTTATCAGAAGTCTATCTTTACACTATTTACGCGGTTCGTTTTTTAAGATTCATTGACGAAAACTCTGAGTACAGTTTTATGAAAGTGGACAGAAATGTTCAAATTTTCTGCGGAAATCAGAAAAAAAATTGACGCTGAAAGGATAGGCGTCCGAAACCACAAACAGATGGCGAAAGCTTTATTTATAATGCCTTACGACGGTCAATAAAAAAAAAAAACCGCATAAAATTCATCCTACATTTGCATTTGCGAACGAAAAAAATTTTTCTATAAAGTCAGATAGTAAAGAACTCGTGGTGTCTGTAGATGAAACCGATAAGAAAAAAAAATTAAAACAAAGACAGCTAGGGATGCTTTGCTTTTTACAAGAAGCCTCACCAATCTTACACTTAACCGGAAACTCAAGAAGTATCCCAGAATTTTGAAACTAACGCCTATTCAATTCATTGATCTGTGTTTTTTATATTTAATTTGCCCCGAGTTGTGCTGCTCTAAATGTTAAGATATCCGCGTGCTGCTGGGCTGTGCTTGGCTGGGACAGTGACTCACTCTGTGGCACCGAGAACTCACTTGGTTTTGAATCAGATATTGAAGAAAAACACAAGCGTGCATAAGCGACATGGTGTCGCCGAATTCTGCCTTGTTTGATTTAAGCACCTGCCCCCGGGCGAATTGGCGATTGCGTTTACAAGATGTTTTCTCTTTGGCACGAGCTAACCATTAAAATGCCATCCAACAGTCTTCTTTGGGACATCTTTTTTTGAAAATAAAAAATAGTAATCCATAAAAACTGTCTTTACCGCCATTAAACGACTTCCCAAATTCGAACGTAAAAAAAATAAACATGTTCGATCGAGTTGAAGATGTCTCATCTGCCTAGAACGTTTCGGTGATGTTTCACAGTAAGAATAAAACTTTAGCTTCTTCTCTTAACATTATGACGACTTACAGCTAATCTTTTGTTTCTGTTTTAGATAAAAAAGATACGGGAAGAAAAGAATTACGACTCACGCGCACGAATAAAATAGCGAAGGGTGTGGATTCTGCAAAGCACCATTACCATCACAAAAGATATTTTAAAATATTCGCCTAAAGTTTCTGTCTTGAGCCATTCACAAGTATAATTCTTACTAATAAAGACGTTGTTTTAGCTATGATTTCAACTGACATAGAGATTTCTTACCGATAAGAGTTCGTAACTAGTGACTTCATCGAAATCGAGTGTCGCAGCCCTGATCTTCTTTCCAAAAGTCACATAGCCATGCAGACGACTCGTTGTTTTGAAGGAAACAAAGTCAGATAACTGATCTCCACCGAATGCTTATCGCCACCTGAGTACTCTGTATTTACTTCAGGTTTAACAGTGTCTGTTTTACCACTAGTTCTGTATATCCATAAACGATAAAATGAAAAAAATAGACAAAAATTAGAGTTAGACATGTATATATCCGATGATTAACCGCGAAATGGATCTTGTTCAGTGTATTTTACAAAATTTGAGTCTATTAGGACCAAGGTTGATTTTAAGATTGTTATAATCAGTATTTCAACTAATTTTTGGAATCTTTTCAGCGTGCACAAGGTTGGTTAATAGACAAGAAATTTTGGGACATATTTTAACTTGCAGGTGACGAAAAACGCATCGTTGTATTCGTTTCCACACTATACCTTAGTGAGTCAGCCTTGTCTGATACAGATAAGAGAGTTTTTGCCAGCGAAGCAGCCAAATACATTTTGTGCTAGAAACCCAACGATGCTCTGAGATCTTCTTTACGAAAATTTAATTTATTTAACTCAATCATATAGGTTTCGTTTTTCCTCATCAACCATTCTATAAAAAAGTTTAGAGTGCACCGTGAAGTTTTTAAAAGAAATTGCTTAATGTGTATCAGACATATTGGTTTTTAAGGGTCCGAAAATGAATAGACTTCTGTAATGGTCGAATCAGTATGAACGATAAATTGAATTTATTAGAAGACAGAAATCTTGCCACCGAAAGCATTATTGCATTTAAGTTTCGCTGACAAGTGAAATGCTATCAATTTCACACAAAATAAAACATCCCGTTGGAAGTTCAAAGGCTTGTTCGATCTTCAAGACCGATAGAAAGGATTTCAAGAAAGACTTTCTTTTGTCATTCGAACATACGAGGTTGAGATCCAATATTCAGGTAAGTCAAACGACCTCCTAGAGTGAGCTACAGGATTTTCCGTTTGAAAACACTTGATCGTATTTGTAGAATATCCCAAATTTACTTCTGTATGTCCTTCGTAATCTTGGCGCAAAGATTTTTGCAGTCACTGTATTAAGGTTGAATGCCAACTTTATGGTAGGCTCAAGAAGATGAAGTAAAAGTGTTATTTTGGCGGGAAAGTAGCGGCGCGATTCTGCGCGTTTCGATCTCAAACAATCAAAATATCGAGGAGGAAAGGTCTCACTTGTTGTATACCTAGAAACGTCTTTTCTGTCTCTTCCGAGATTAATTATAATCCACTTGGGCGCTAAATATACAAAAAGTGTAAAGCCATGAGAACAACAAACACAAAGAGACCACGTTGCTAAACTGGAATGGGGGAAAATTACTTTCTAAGCTTCAATTTTTTCTCTTAATCCAAACCCTACTTTCTTGCTTCAGATTAAATTGTCAGTCAAAATTGCTAACTGCAGCATTTACACATACCAGAACCCTCTCATTTTAAATATCAAATTGTTTTCTCGTCAACAAAAGACACTTCATCATGTTTGTAATATTAAAACTACTGGTTTGAGGTCGGAACAATACATCGGAAATACTTAATAGCAGATTAAAGCGGTTGCAAGCAGTCGCAAAATATCACACAGAAATGCTTATGAGCAGGCAAATAAACCATCATCACGTATGGATCTTTGAACAGAGCGATTTGCACCAATTAACTCGCAACGATAGGCAGAATATCTCAAGGACCACAAGCCCATAGAGTAGAAGAAGTTCGGGAGTGGTTTTTGTTTTCTTAACAAAATAAGTAATTACATTAAAAAAGTCGTATTTTCATTGTCCAAAATACTCGTGATATCTTTAGCATTAAAAGTTCCTTTCTATTACCGTCCCTTGAAGCACGCGGTTTTATTATGTCCTTTGTACGCACACATTCTAATCAGTAAATTTCGTCGTAATTAATAATTAATCAAAGCCTCAACCCCAAATAAGTAACAAAAAATGAATATTTTCTCTTCAGTCAACGCTCCGGTCATAACACTTTAGGGAAAGAAAAAAAATTGAAATGCTTACAACCTCTGAACTAATTGAAACCTCTTTTAATTAAAGCCAAGTTGACTTGGTTTCGTGCTCAGCGATTGGTATTTAAAATTTGCTCGTTCCTCTCAAATACAAACCCGAGAACTTCCCTCTCGTTTACCAGAATTATTGCATTTTAACATTCACAAGAATCGATTTCTATCTTAGCTCGCGCCTTTGGAGATTTATTCCCAACTGGCCCCCATGAAGATGCAAAATGAAATCAATTTTATAATGGATCATATTTCAGCCGTTATGTTGGAACTTTCAGTATATTTGTAAACTTTTGCGCGTTCTACCTGTCCAAAACAGATTTTTAAAATTCACGAGAAACAAAATTAGACACATTATCTTATCTCTTTCGGATATCGTCTCGAATTTACAGATAAATTAGTTTTCTAAAGATTCATTTGGCGAATTAGTATAGGAGATTTCTATTTCTGCGCAAAGAAAAACAATGTAATGTTTATCATAGATTTCAATAAGCAAAGTGAAAGAAGTAATAAAACCATCAAAAGTCGCCAGCTCTCTCGTGATTGATGGAAAAAGTTCAACATTTTATGTTCCAAAGCGACATTTGTGGAATTCATTGGGGCTTTGGGAATAATAACTATGCAAAAATGTTAATGGCTCAATTTAGAAAATTTTATTAATTTTGTAGTAATCACCACAACGAATATTTGCAGCTGCCGGAGAGACCATCGCATTTTGTACTTTATGCTGTCACGCATAAAGCAAAAATCACTCACATTGAGCTCAGTTTGTTCAGGGATTTCCTCTCACACAAGGCAGTGTTATTGGTATCTCTTAAGCTTTTCTCCGGGCTATTAAACCCTGTGTGTGTTTGCAAGCAAAGTTGTCGTCCTTGATTAGGTCACTTCCTCTTCACTGCAAACGATGTGCGAACGTTTTTCAAAATTGTCTTAGAGGAACAATCAAATCAATACTTTTCGCTGATTAAGCTGCCAGTCGATATGTACGGCTGCAAATGTTAAAAAGAAAGTTTATTCTGAATGTCACGATTCCCCGCTAGGTAGGTGGCACGAGGTTAAATGCCACATAAAAAACCTTCAGTGATCGCACGCGGCCCCCGGTAATTATTTAAAAAGCATACGAAAATGTTAGTTTTCTTTCGAGAACAAAAGTCGTAAGCTAAACATGTTTGAGTAATTAGGGAAACGATGAAACAGTCATCTGTACTGAATGAATACAAAAGCGTTTGTCAAAGATCAAGGACTTTCTTTAGCACGGCACGAGTCATATTTTTGTACTTGGCTGGTAACACTATAGGATTCTTTTTAAGAGGGATGTGTGGGTAAACCTCCCGCAAGCTTCGTGGAAATATGCACGGAAGAGGATGTCGTCTAATCAATAAGTGCCTCGCCCCGAGCTATTACAACCTCGCAATCACGTACAATCCATGGGACACGAAAGAAAAAATAAATAGAAAATAAAAATATAGCATTAAATTCGACGCCAATATGTCGAACTTCATCCATCGTGCCCCACGAAAGCCTGGAGCCGGTGAAAGCAAGTGCTATCGATTTAATTAACAATTAATATTTTATTAATCACGTTAATGACGATTCAGTTTCGTCTAATCACGGCCTATTTGATCAATTATTTGAAAGCCAAAATACTTCATCACAAACAAATGCTCCTTAATTAAGAGAATTACAGTTCGCGCTACATGGCAGGGACCGCGCTGGAAGCAGACCAGAGAGCGAAACGCGCTTGAAAAACCGTCGTAATTACGCGCTGTCGAGTTCGGAACGCGCCGGGAGCCGATAGAAGATTGCGCACTGAAAGGCGAAAAAATTATATTACGGGCGCTTAATTTGCCATGCTCTCATGTTCAATTAGCACAATTAAATATTAATATAGAGTGATTTGCTTACATGCTTTCTGATCCGGTGGTGACACCTGACATAATTTTATTAGAAAATAGCGCCACGGCGCGCGCTGATTGGCCAGACGCGGCTATAGATATTAAATCCGAGGTAATAAGCACTCTACAAAGAAGACCGAAAGTTTGGCAGAATCGCAGAAGATTAGTAATGGAGCCAGCGACCGACGCGAACGGTCCAGTCAGAGGAGCAGCCATGGATCACCGCGAAGATCACTCTACAACTTCTTTGCTGGAATTAGTTCCAAGTCTGGAGCACTCGATCGTTGGAATACTCAATCATAACGGCGAGCTAAACGAGCAGGATTCAGGTAGGGGCTATATATATCTTGTTAGGGTAACAAATTTTCGAAAATTTTCTACTCATCATTCACATTAACCCAACTTTATAAAAAATAAATTTTCTAATGACTTGAGTGAGAGCTTCTTCTAATTTAATTCACTTGATGTCTGCCTCAACAGATAGCGCTAAGAACGGTTGTGTAGACGGAAAGAGCTCCCCGACAGAGCACAGGAAGATTGATACTGTTTCTCTTGATGATGAAGATAGAAAGGCTAGTGATAGCCAAGGCGTCAAACAGAAGCGCCATCGCACTCGTTTCACACCGGCTCAACTAAACGAGCTCGAGAGGTGTTTCGCTCGAACGCACTACCCAGACGTTTTCATGAGAGAAGACCTCGCCGCGCGCATTGGTCTGACCGAGTCGAGAGTTCAGGTACAAACCTTAAAAACCAGCTATTTATGATTAACTCGATATCAATGAGAGAAAAATAGCAGTTTAAGGATCTTTTGGTATAATGAAGTTTATGTAACGGTTTGTTTTGCGATGGAAAACAAAAACGCTCGTTTCGTATAAATAGCTCTTAATCTTTGCCACTTTTGCCTTCTAGCGAGCCTTGCACAGTACGCTGATCAGTTAGAGTTTAGTATCTGATTTCTGTTAAATGATAAAATCGTTTACGCCGCCACCAATTTTTTTCCGGCTATAATGATATATTTGTATACTTTTCCCCCTAATCACTTTCACACTGCGGAAAGACTTGTACAAACCTTTCACTACAAAGAAACTGTCTAAGGACTTAATGTCGGAGAACGCGCAATATTTGCGGGAAGAAATCAAATTTTATTGCTGTGAAGACGATTTATTATTTTTATCGCGAACACAACAAGAATTGCCTTTGTGGTATTAATTTGGTTTTTGTTTTGAGATACGCTTTACCGGCGGTCTCATGCGAAATAGAAATGGCACGTTCCTTGCGGCTAAATTTACTACAGATAACAATACTCCGTGTCAAAACATCTTTACGTTTAAAAGCCCTGTATTTATCCTACTGGACTCTTATTTTCCGAGATTTTAAACCGTTGGCGTGGCAGAAGAAGGCAGACCGCAGTTTTCTGAATGTACACAATGAATAGATTATTAAAAACACATTCAATAGCAATGGCCAAAATAAACCTATTGGAAATTCTAATGAGGAAGCATAAACGGAAAAGCTCTTTCTCGTGATTTTTAAAAGTTATCTAAGCTATTATGACTAAGGAGTGCAAGTGAATAATAGACATACAGAAAGGGAAACTATTATCTCGTAACAGTGTGTCGCAATTGTCAACCGAAGCGTGTTTACATCGGCCAGAAATAATTGCTTTTAAATTTTAACCAGAATGGAGAGTGTACTTTCGTTTCTTTGGCTCCGCCATCAAGTTAATTGGGAGCCTTCTTCTTCAGTGATCCAGATACTCTATTAGAGTGAAGAAGCTTGTCAAATTTCGGTTATCACAGATTCGTTATTAAACGATGGAAATTAGCTACAACTTGGCTCCAAACACCTGTTTCAATACATTTTGTGCTTTGATCGCAGACAGCTGAAATTCTTAGTGTAGTTTTGAAAAGTTCGTTCATGAAATCCTGCGTGGTTTTCGCTCATGAAAAGCGAATGTTGTTATCACCATTTGCGGTAAAGTCATCTTTGGTTCGGCTTTGTAAATAAAGACATATCTTTAGTAACCCAACAAAATACTTTCATGAACTGTTAAGGGAATCTACTTTTGTCCGACGTAAAATTGAAAAGTCACTGGTAAGGCATTAAATTCTCCCCTGGAGCTAATGGCAGGATGAATTGCTAGGCTTCGCGCTGTCTCTCTGAATCAACAACACAAACTTGCTCGTGTCGACCGAAAACTTTAAGAAAGACAATGCCCACTGAATTAGAGCGAACTTGTAGAGCTGGACCGAGGTTCGAATAGAAAAGCGTAATTTAAAAGACAAAGCAGACACCGGTGTTTTTGTACGTAATTAGAATAGCTGTAAGGCGGGCAGGCTCGGCTCTAGAGTAATTACGTTTTTCATTTCGTCAAGTTCTTGGCCGCGCTCTTATAAAAGAAAGCGAAGTTAAGAAGTGGATTACCTCAAAACCGCCTCAGTAATAAACCGGGCACGGCGACAAACCCTGTTTACTTAAAAAGAATATTTGACATGGTTTGCAATCCGCTAGTCAGCGCCATATTCTGCATAGAAGAATGTTGCCTTTACACAACAGTCACGGTATCAAAATGCAATCAGGATATTCTTTACAATTTGTGGTTCTTCAATTGACTTGCTCGACAAGAAGACTTCACTTCCGTTTCTTTCTCGCTGTTCTCAACCAACGCAGCGAGTAATGAAATTAAAGATAATCATTGGACATGCAGGGCCCGTATCGCTTTTGGTTATTCGCATTGTAGTAAACGATTGTTCTGAGAAACTAAGTGATTAGGAATACAAAGAAATCAGACTTTCCACCACGATTACATTATTTTCATGTCTTTCACGGCGAAAAACAAACCCACAGTCACTTAGAATGAATACGTACACGATGGTCTTTCCAATTTTTAGCAAGTTACATCAGAACTTTGCTGTACTGTAGAGGTTTTCTTTCAAGTCGTCTTAAAGGAATTCTATAATTAGGGTCTCATTTCACCTCATCAGTACCAAAATGTGAGGAAGTGATTAAAAGGAGTCTATGTTTGAACACGAATCATGTTAATGTATACATGTTATTGAGAAGAAATGGCTTCTTGTACTTTTTTGGTTATCAGATTGTTTCGAACAAATCGTGGCAAATTGAAAATATTAAGCAGCACCACGGGTGGCCAACCTTTAGGCGTGTCAGGCCAATGCATCGAGCTATCAGAGCGAGATAAATATGTTCGACCCTGACCTGACGAAAGAAAATACCAAAACAATCTTCTCAATTTCTCAGCGTCCGTGTACAAGTTAACGCTATCGCAAATTGCGAGGAAATGCGACCAAAATATTTAATGTAACTTAAAAATCAATTTCATTAAAACAACTGATGCCTGTACATTTCGCTTAAGTTCAACTTCTATTGACACAAAAAGTTTGTTCGCAAAAAGTTTATAGCAAAATTGCCCGCTGAAGTTGTGTTCAAGGGATTTAATGTGTTGCGACAAGTCAGACACGCGGCGGTATCGCACGCCCAGGCAATACTGAGTTATTTACCGGGATATTTTCTGAACCATTGTACAAAATATTCTATAGCGGTCGGCACATTGGCGGCACGGACCTCTGTTTGCTTTAGAGGTATCGATAGGTTACGCCGGGTTGATCAAAGTGCAAAATGAAAACATCAAGTCTTTTGTTTGTCTTTCTTTTTTCTGGCAAAATCGAAATCGCAAAAAGGAAAAAAATTGGACTAAGCCCCTATTCGTTGTCAAGGAGTGCAAATCCTTGAGTACCTCTATTTCTTAAACCAGTTGCTAAACTATAGTTTGTTACAGTCAATTAATTCGTCTTTAGTTTCATCAATAAGGACCTGAGAGCGGCGTATATCAAAGATTCGAGTTGGTGAGAAAGTGACCGACCCAGCCAGAAAGAAAGTTACTATATATTCAGTTGGGGTTATTAAAAAGAAGCACCCTTTGTCGGCAAGACACGGTATTCATTGTCACAAATCGATGGCAGAGGTAATCGTGAAAGTAATAAGAAATGGTCGAGATTTCAGTAAGGTGGGAAAAGTACAAAGTAGAAACATTGAAAAGACGACGATGAAAAGCATGTACACTTGCCTTTGCCTTAAGACTAGTGTTAGCTGATCCAGAACGATAGTATAGAAAACATTCTAGCGTTTTTCAGAGAAAGAGTCCAAAACATAAAGAATAAATATTGAATTTTTATTGGTGTATCTTATAATAGAAATATAAACTACAAGTTAACCAACAAAGAAAAGACCAAGTCAAATTCAGCCCCGGAGGATAGAAATAATTCTTCAAATGTGAAAAATGTTGACGGAAGTTATATAAGAATAAGGGAAGTTTTCCCGCCATGTTTATTATAGCTTTCATGTTTTTTTCAAACTCTCAAAACAAATAATAAAGGAGGCTGCGTTTTGATTTTTTTCTCAAAATTTCTGAGTGAAATCTAACACGGGCAGCATATGCTTTAAGGTTCGTGCACAAGTAGGCGACGTGGTGTTACTTTTGTTAAATGGGAACGGGTACCAGCTTAATTCGGGACATTATCACAGCGTCAATCTTTGTCATGATAACAGTTTAAGTTTTACATTTTCCGCGTTGATAAGATTTTCTGAGAAAACTTTGATTTCCCCTATTCAAACAGCAGCTGCGAGCTCAAGAAATTATTTGAGGACTTTTGAAGAGGTTTGAGGGCTGGAACATAAAGAACCATCTGGTCTCGTTGGATCGTCGGCTCTTCCTTCGGGGGTTTTTATCCCAACTACTTGATAAAGCAATACACTTAGAATGATAATTCTGTAACTGAGGTTAAGATCTGAGTTGTGTTCTACATGTGCTTATTTTGGTCTGTTCAAACAAAAGTATCATTTTAGTTTGTTAACTTGCGCTGACATTAATATTCTTTATCCTCAAATTGAAGCCTTGTTTAACTGATAGAAATAGTTAATATTCAACATGCTTTTTCGAATTCCTTAGTCATGTTTTTTTGTTTTAAAGGTAAGCAGTGTTTCCTTCTAATTCAAGTATTTTACTTTCCTATTTTTGCTGGTTAGGCCCAATACAAACTTTATCAAAATTAGCATTTTTCTTGTTTGTAGACAAAATTAAACAACCGAGATTTGTCGGCGAAATAAAAGCTAACTATACTTCTGTTTAAACCATATTGAACACAGGATGAAAAACACCATCTCTTTAGAAGATGTAATGGCTGAGAATTTATTCCTTACTGTTAGCATCCAACGTTTGTCTCAGGCTATTTATGGGCCAAAAAGATGGATCAATGTTTAGTTTGCTGAGATTCTCGAGGTTGTTAAATTTCAAGTGACTTCTCGCAAAATGCGAAATAATTGTGTGCAAATCGATATAATCATTTTCCGACAATGCCGCGAAGAAGATTAATTAAAAAATTCACCCATGTGTTTAAACAGCTTTATAGGCACAAATTTTGGCAGTCTTGGTTTCCTCTCCAAGGCAGAATTTTCTCGGAAAAGGAAACAGCAATTTGATTTTCGCTACCAGAGGTTAACCATCGTGAACAATTGCTTTATCCGCGTCATTCAGCTAACAATTAACAATCTCAATTTTACCTCGATTAGATCATTTCAAAAGGTGCAGTTTTCAGTCCTCGTTTTATTCAATTTTACTATTTTTCAAAAAATTTTCATGCGGAAAAATGTCTTCAATAATAAAGGGAGACGTTTCCATCACCTCTCTCTGGACTCGATTGCCACTTTCTTAAGACAAACGTTGTAAAGATTACGTTTTTCTCCCAAGAGATTTGGGAATTTATTTCTGATAAGTGCATCCTTAGCAAATGTTTTTTCTCATACACTATGGAAAAAGACCTGGCGGACTAAATTGAGATTTCATCTGGCGACGCTATCATGTTGGGTCAAGGAAGACTTCAATAGCTATAACCAATAACAAAAAGAGGCAAATGCAGATTTCTCCAAACATGAAATAGTTTTGACAGTTTTCATTAAATTTAGATTAGAGAATTTAATTGGCAACTATCAGTCAAGTCAATTGCAGAAATTAAAATTGTTATGTATATTAAAACAATACTGGTCACGAAAAGAAAAACAAAAACGAAACCAAGCAGTTATTCATTTGAGAAAAAAATCATCTAAATTGTTATGGTAATTTAATTAGCAAGTAGCGGGATCGACTCTGAAACGAAAGGCCCCTCTAATAGCTATATACACGAAATTGAAGATGGAAACATGGAAATGGATGAAAAAAAAATTTTAAACCCAAGTCTAAGGCTTGTAATGACCAACAAATCTTAAAGTATGAATATCGCAAATTATGGACTTCTTGCCAAAGCAGCTGGACAACGATTGAAAGGATAGTGCTTGCATCATAATTCTGTGAAAGAAAGTTGCCTCGGCATCGCGTAAAGGCCGGTGCGATTTGTATGGTGAGGAACCGTGCGAATTCAACCTAACCAATATGTTTCTAAGCGGGCAAAGGCGACATTTGTAATGAAAGACAGGTGAATTTTTTTGATGAGTTTGAAGTACTCTTCACATTAACTTAAAGAAAAAGGCAAACTGTATACAGCTTATAACAACCCCAAAAGGAAAGAAGATAGTGAAAAGTAAAGAAGATTAACTTGGATTAAAAATAGCGATATTGAAAATTTAGGCGCACAGACCGCAAAAATCCCTTTCATAGAAGATTATCTCTTGATTCTTTCAGTGAATCATGCACAATTGCCTCGCCAACTTCAAGTAGTTATTTGAATTAGGCAAATAGCGACATTAACCTTTGCACATATTGACTTCTTCTTGAAAAGTTAACCTAACGGTTATCTTTGAAGGGCTTAAAGGCAACTTAAGAGTTCGCATCATTTAAAGCTTCAGTTCTTGACCGCCAAGGGACCAGGAATTTAGCTTTTTCTGAGCAATCATGGCATCATAAGTTGCTAGTTGCTGGCGCAATTAAAAAGATGTGTTTTACGCAAGAGAAAAAACTTTGTATAGGAGTAAAAATTAAGTGGAAATGGGTAAAATGTAAAGATGTTTAGATGATAAGTTTTCTGCATTGACACAATAGGAACTTTATCAAAAGGAAGACCCTGCACCTGCATAGCTCTCAGAAGATCTATAACTGATTACGACTGTGCTTAAATTGTAAACTCTATGTATTTGGTTTTCAGGTCTGGTTTCAAAATCGACGCGCTAAATGGAAGAAACGAAAGAAGACAGCTGCAATTCTTCGACCTCCTGCACCGATTCTTCCGTCTCACATGGCCCAGGCCTACAACCCCAGCCCCATTGGCGACTCCTTATGCACTTTCCACAATGATCACAGATGGCCCAGCACAATGGGCACGGCAATGCCAACGATGGCTCCAGTCACTACTCCTTCTCTTCCTCTCTCCCCACCGCATCATCCATTCGCACAGACTGGACATGAGGTTCTTCCACAGACATACTCACACCAGGGTTCTATGCCCAGATCACATTTGAGCATGTCCATCCAACAACAGGCCACCCCACCAGCCCAACAGACCTTTCAACAACCGTTTGGCGGGGCCAGGGAAATGCCCATTTCATCTTCGCCTTCTCTACAAGATATCCAATGCAGCATTCCCAATGGCGGAGAGTTGTGGCGTGGTTCAAGTATAGCTTCGTTACGGAGAAAAGCCTTGGAACACAAGGCGGCTTTTACGTATAGATAAGTAAAAGGTTCAGTACCTCCTCTACGATATTGACAGAATTACTGTCGCAATATTGAACCCTAAATTAGTACAAGGGACAAAAAGAGAATCACCGGACACTTCTTGTAACGTTTAGTTCAATATACCTACAATTAAGAAATTTCTAAAATATTTTAAATTACCACTTTCTTTATGTCGGGTTTGCCGAGAGAAATTCTCATCATGTTTCTTCATTTGCTTCTCAGACACAAGATCATCCAGTGAAAATATAGATATATAGAATTTTCTCGAAACTCTTTTTTCACCATATCATTTGCCAAAGAAGCGGAATCAAAATTCATAGCCAAGAAGAGCACGTAATGAAAGGGTCATTAACCTTGGACTGATGATTTAATTGTTGCAAAGACAAAAGTTCCTCCATCAAAATTATACAGAAAATATAGGAATGTTTAGATAGTTCCATATAGCACTAACTCGCTACTCTTTTCATTTCAACATTACTCAAAATCTTAGCATCGCATTTTTTTTGTTTGTTTGTGTCAGCCAAGCTCGCCAGTTTGTCAAGTTTTATCGCACAGAAACTTTGGAATGAGTGTGAATATTGCTTCAAATGCTAAACAAGGACGAAATTTTTTGAGGCCCTTTTACCCGTGAAATTGAACTTTGAATCACGGCTTCGCTCCGAAAAATGAAGATTCCATTCATACTGTCATTCCACCACAAAAATTTCAACGTAAATCGAACCATCGAAATTACAGACAAATGACTGAAAGTTTCAGCAAACATTTCAAATATTTCTCAAGAACTGTGAAGAGACCTACCTATCTGTGAAGAAATTTTTTTTCTCATAATCTTGAATTTACAGAGAGTACTGTAAAACTGTTACCAACTAAAACGTATGAGGTACAGACTAGACAAGGCTGGCTGGCAGGTGAGCCTCCAACCGGTCCAACACCACTGTGATAAATTTACGTTTGTTTATGGCTCACATGCTATAATAAATTCCCTTCAATTTTCCTTATATTGCAAATACCAAAAATTAATTCAAACCTCAACAAGAAAAGACACAGACAGGAGATACTTGTGTTCCCGATTCAATCAGTTCATTCTTTTATAATTATGTAATGTCATTTCATAGAGAGAAAAGAAACACTCACATGCTTCCAATTATGTTTTGGCTAAGACCCTGTATATAATGAAAGAACTATACTATTGATTATACTGTCGCTAAATATACATATAAATTTCCGCTGGAAACCCGTATGGTAGTATAATAGAAGGATTAAGGCATTTCTGAGGTAAAATAGTCAATCAACTGAGCCTTTCCACATCCTACAGACAACACTTCAACAGATTTCAACTTACAATAATTCAGCGCGATTTAGAAGAATTTTCTCGACACCCATTTAATTCGATAATTGCAGTTCTCATTTGACAAATGCAAGCTAGTTAATTTCCAAGGGCAACTTTTTTATGACTTTACTTAAAGGGACGCTTTTAGGGTTGAACTTTGATTCGATTTCCAGATGGAACTAAATCAATCTCACGAACAGCACAGTATATTCCATGCATATCCAGGCACCATAGTTACAACTTCAGGAAAAGCTATGTTAGCCAATTTTATATCTTTCTCATTTTCTTTATATCATTTTCATATCTTTCATACGTTAATCGCTCTCCCAACTAAAACAACTTCAACTGATGAGGAAGAAAGCTTTCGCTTTTATTTGAAAAAAAAAAAAAACTGATCCACCAACATGACAAACCATTAAGAAAACTCTGCCTTGTCTCGGTTTGATGGAAGAAGGTATGTTCCATCCACGTATTCCAACCTATCCTTTGACTTGCTGCGTAACATCGCTACAAGCTTGACCTTTCAACTCTCTCTTTATCATCTTTGCGAACTTCATGGGATAAGTTGTGAAAATTTAAACCTGTGCTTAGGAGAGAATCGCTTTTAAAGTTGTTCATTTACAATTTGCACCTCAGTCGCATAAATTCTTCAAAAGCATAGTAACGAAGACAAAAGGAACATTTTCCCGCAACTACGTAAGAACAATAATAAATAAAGGTAAAGTGGCCAGAAAGTCATTAGGACGGGCACACAATTACAATAGATTATTTAATTGCTATTTAAGATAGTATAAACTATTTAAGTTCTTTCTGCCTGTGATAAAATCACGGTGCGTAGGTATTTTGGGATCAACATTTGCCTCGGGCAACATTTTGATTGACGACAGAGCGGGTCACCAAAGACTAAGAGCTTATCAGGAGAAATGGTCAATCCAGCGTGTAATTACTAAACGAAGTCCAATTTCAAATAAAGCTTTATGACCTGATGATTACTGGCTTTGTTTTAGGGCTTAATGTCAATCCCAAGAGATTTTTTCCAATTCTTCAAAGCCTCTTGAATGAAACTGGGCAAACTATAACGCTGCCGCTTTGTAGCTATGAGACTCAAGTAATAACAAAATGCCGCTCCACGCCATTCCCTTCAGGGCAACACTAGCTTAAAAGGTTATACAAAGACGCCTATATTTCCCTCTTTCCACCGAAACCACGAGTTTCGCGCTGGATCCGGAATTGCCAAAGATAAATTGCCCATTGATGAAAGCTATTGTGATTACGTATGCATAAGGTCCCTTTCAATCCGGAGGTTTCTGTGTCGGAATATCGTAAAGGTTTCAATTTAAGGCCTCCCCGCTTATGTCTGCGGGTTTCTTTTAAAAGCCAATCTATTGAAACGTGTGCTTACAAAAATAGGCAATATCCGACTTTTCGAAACACCTATACCTACCGCACACGTCATTCTGATTTGAAAAGATTGTTTACCTTAAAATCTCCCAATCTAAACAAAATCCTCCAACCCAAATTTCAACCCTTCAATCAAAACACAAATCCAATGATACAATTATTTAGGAGAAGCAGTCCACACAAGACCACGTTTCTTATTGGCCTTAATTTTTTTTTAATAACTCCAGCGGCACGTTCAGCGGAACTTGCTCTCCGGTACAATGTATCGTTGAACTGTCAACTGAATGAACTCTTTGCCGAGAATCTTAATTATATTTGATTTTAATTTCCTCCAACTTTAAGGCCGCTACTGTAGCTACACCCTCATTCTTTGAAATATCTGCTTGCGAAAAAGGCACTGCGTACAATGAGCCACACAATAGTTATATTTTCCAATTTAATAGAAAACGAGATTGTGTTTTGGCCTTTGTAATAAACAGCTAATAACGTAGTCGCGTTGAAGTTTTTGAAGCAAATATGTGATGGACAAAATAAATAAATAAATAAATAGAAAAAAAAACATGCACCAACACACAGATTTAAATTGTTTTTAAGGCTACCTTTTCAGAAGAAAATATAACATTTTTCGAAATGACCTCTTAAATCAATTCTAGAATCAAATCCTAAACGAAGCAGTCATCCCATTAGGAGAATCGGAGTGCTCCGAAATCGAATTACCTTTTGTAAAATTGTCATTATGCTGATTCATTTGGAGCTTTGCTCGCAGAGTCATGACCGGATTAGCATTTTCTTTTTAAGAAATATTACGCCTGATTTAAATTGAACTTGCTTTAATTTACTACACGTGTCAGGTCTGCTAAGCGCGTGCGCAGTTGACATGGCTACAGTGTCTCCTCGAAACCGTTAGCTTTACTTAGCGATTTCAATCCTACTGCCACCCCGGGATTACCAAGTCGTGCAATTAATAGTCACTAATTACACACATTAGGCTAAATTTCAGCTAATTTCTAGAGAATCGTCGACCAAAGGCCCCGAATTTCTTACCGGTTATTAAAATCATTGAATGATGCGAGCAGCAGAACTCTAGAACTCATAGATTTCAATAAAAGTGTAGATATTCCTTTATGGTGTGTTTGCCGAAAGGTTGGCTCATCCAATATCTGCCTTTAGTATGTTTATAGAATTGTGATTAGAGCAAATCACTTAAACGCCAAACATCACACGCAAGCTAACCTCGAGTACTCAATTATTTGTCGTCATAACCAATATCGTTTTTCAAACCACACTTCAAAACGTTGCGTGTGAGGTTGAAATTATTAAATTTGTTGCGAATTCATAGCATAGCGCATCCACATCGGCAATTTATGGGTTGGAAAGATGTCAAAAATATAACCAAAAAATTAATCCCAAATAAGCACTCTCAGCATTCAAAGTGTAATTTATTGCGGCGAGGGACGAAGATTAACCCTAACTTGGAAACATCAAGTACAGAGAGATATCCTGCTGTGATTATTTATTGTCAATCAAAATAAGCATCTCTTTCTTTTCATCTAATGTGTGCTCCACAGTCTACCAAGGCTGCGTTCATTAGTGATTAGTAATCACCGCTCTTGTCACTGCTAACAAACAACTAGCTAATTTCAATACAATATCAGAACATAGAGAATATTGAGTTCTGAAGCGTGATTGGCTAACCCTTTGTTATCTAGATATCTTTTGCATTATTTCACCCGCCTTGTCCTGTTAATTCGCTGTTAGCACAAGCGGCCGAAGTATTTTGTAACATCTTGCGGGACGATAACATTAGTCGTAGCTAGGACCTGCTGTAGTGATGACCAAAATGAGTTGCCTCATCAAGAGTGATTCGACGCCACAGAAGAACGACATCCATAACACCATCAGAGACGGCGTAAATGATAACAAAGACCACTTTCTCCCCGCAGTTTTGAAGCGAAAAGACGGAAAGTGTAATTCACCCACAAGCTCTAAGGAAAGTCACAGTGACCGTGACTCAGACCTCGAAGACTCAAACAGTGAATTTCATGGTAGGAGGCAAATTCTAAGTGATGTTGATTTAGAATAAATGTTTCGTTCACTAATGCGGCCACGGACTGTCAAAACAATCTACTTTTATTTAAGTAAGCTAAACAATAACTGTTTTTTTTTTTCTCAACAGATGAATTCACTGAGGAGTCGTCGAAAAAGAAACACAGAAGAAATCGAACAACTTTCACTACATTTCAACTCCACGAGCTTGAACGAGCGTTCGAAAAATCGCACTACCCCGATGTGTATACAAGGGAAGAACTCGCTCTTAAAATTGACCTTCCTGAGGTTCGAGTACAAGTAAGTATAAACGTTTGATTTTGCGTAATTTATTTATTATCTTTGTAAGTAGAATTCATTACGAAATTTAGATATCGCTTTACCTTTGTTAGCTTTCTTACTAAGCCAAATCAAACTGTTTTCATTTAAATAAACAGTCCGCGGTTTATTTTCCCTGCGGCGGTTCGGATGCTTAACGAATCCTATTTTAATGGTTATTTCTAGTAATTTTCAGCTGCCGGTTCCGTATGATATTAGAAAAATCAAATCAACCACGTCTTTGTCGATCCAAAAAGGAAGAAAAAGACAAGAAAAAGAAAAGATCTTTTCTTCGAAATCACAAGACAGCGGAACGGGACATATTGTTTCATACGTGTTTTGTTTTTCTTTGTGACTTTTTCCGTCTCCTTTGCCGAGTATGAAGTTGCTGTAGTACAAGTCCAGTCACTACTTATTTGGGGAAACTGTTACTTGATACCAACCAAATTACACCAAAAACTTCAAACAAAAACAGACCTTGAAGTTTCATACTTTGTCTGGAAAAGACCCACTCATTATCAACGAACATTAACGGAAAACAAGCCCATAATGGACAGGAAGGTGGTTCTAATACTAATAACAACCAAATATTTAGAAACTAAATTAAGCACACCAGGCTGGTCACCCCACACACTCACACTTTGAACGAAAAAAAATGTTAACTCTGACAATTTCGTTCTACAACGACGAAATATTTCTCAAAACGTACTACTTCTTTGCAATTTCTGTTTGACCATACATCTCTGATAATGACAAAAAAACCATTAGTGAGTGAAACCTATTGCGGGCACTTATTCCTTAATAATACGCTTTTTCAGAAGCGAAAACAATGGCACATATAACAGGACAACGGTAAGCGTGTGAAAAACGCATTCTCCGACCGTGGCAAGAAAAATAGTTTACAGAAGGCGTCAAAATTAGAATACAACCCTAATTAAAGTGTCATCTGAGGCTTTGTATTAGATTCGATGGACCAGGTTTAAGGAAAATATTCCTTGACAGCTCGCTCGAAAGACGCGTGGCCTGCGAGAGAATTTAGAGTGTCATGAAGAAAGTTGCTGGGGTCAACATGTTCCCTGTAAAGTACAACGATACAAAGTTTGAAATCATTTGGCCAGGAAAGACACTAAGATCGTTAGAGCAAGTCGTATCAGCAAAAACAAAATTCACCATTTCTGAGCTGATGAAGTTTCCTTTGACTGAACGCTTTCACGCCAAAAGCGTCACCAGACCTAGAAGATTGCGGTTATTTTCATTGTAGTGACATCAAATGCATCTATGGTTTTTCCTTTTATCTTTTACGGCAAATTGTGTAGACTGTTTTAATTTCCTGTAAGTTTTCAATTTAAAGTTTATCTTGTCGCTAATTGGGAAAGAACAATAGTGAAACTCGCGATGACAAACATACACACAGAGGGAGGAATACACCATTTCGATGACATTTATCTCACAGTTTAAGTCTTAGCAAGTTCCTTTCCAGTCAAATTTACCGCAACCAGACCAAAGATTGGGAGAGAAGCAGTCTCAATACCATAAATTCATCTTTCGTTAGTAGCGCTTACGACGATTGTAGTAATTGTCGCTTGACCATCATCTAAATATTTCATGCTCCGTTTGTGTAAAAGACGCAAATGATTATCGCTATCTGCACGCACCCATCACCTGTCTCGCTTTTTTTAATTACATTGGATCGAGTAACAAAGCACGTATATTTAGGAAAAAAGCACCACCGTTCTTTGAATTCGCTTAGACATAACGCTTCTAAATCATCCTTAAAGAAGCAAAGTCGATGACCAACCAAGACACTTCGCTTTACTTGAATTTTCAGAGGCCTATAAAGAACACGAAATATGTCAAATATGCCTACACATCTTTCTTAGCCTCTTTTATTTTACCGGGTTGCAACATACTGGGTTGCAATTTTCAATTTGGTTTTAGTAATACTGCTTTCCCAACGAAAAGTACAATTTAAACTGGTTTCAGAAACAACATATCGAATATTTCAAAGCTTCCCTTATGGCAATTAGTTCAATGCAACCATCAAATGAAATTTCAATACTTCGTATGGCCAAAAACTCCTTTCTCTTAATCAGAGACGTTGACTAAAACTCAAATTTATCTGTTGGCTTACGTAGCCAAAGGCAGGTGGTGAAGATCACTTATTAGGTTCATTGAATGTCGTGCTAGTCTGATCAGTTAACATAAAACCCTTGTAACACTTCTTAGAAGTCGCATTATTAAGGCTTCCTTCTAAATTCACAATTGCTATCTAATCTTTAAGCATAATGATAAACCGGAATATTCCCCACTCTTCTTTCTTACTTTACGTTGGACTATCCTGAGAATTGATTCGTTACAAACTATTCATCGTATGTACTTGATCATTTTCCAGGTGTGGTTTCAAAATCGTCGAGCAAAATGGAGAAGGCAGGAGAAGATGGAGATGGCTTCTCTCGAACACATTCCTTCCCAAACAATAGCCCGACCAAAATTCAACAGCCTTCCCTTTCCCGATCCGTGGAAGAGTTCCCTAACTTATTCAGCAGCCTTTGGTGGGGCTTTGTACCCCCCGGCAAATGTTCCGACATCTCCAAATCTCGGTTGTTTCCCGGGATCATTTAGCCCTACAGGTTATGTACCGTTCTCCTCATATTTACCCGGAATGGGATGTATACCTGGAGGACACCCAAGTGCCCGCGATGAGAGAACAACGAGCATTGCATCCCTGAGAATGAAAGCCAAAGAGCACATGGAAAACCACACTTTAAAAGAGTGGTCTGAAATGCAAACTGCGACGCAGTGAAAAAGAATTGATGCAACGGATAAGAATGAGACAAAAGCAAATAAGAGACAGTATAAGTGATTATTTAAAGAAAAGTTTGACAGAGTTGTATTCTTGTATTTGTTCCCTTACTTTACGAGTCCAAAAGTTGGGTGAAGATTCATCCACAACTGAAATTTGAATTAAATAAGCAACACAATGAAGATAGATTCGTTTTTACAAATCACATCAATTCTACATGATAAAGAATCACAAAAACAACCACTGGCCGGGCGGGAGATTTTGACATAAACGTACAAAACGTAACTGAAACATAGTTTGCTTTTCAATTTCCTCAAACATAATAAATTCGCGTTATTAAGAAATAAAATGACCACGATTTTCAGAAAACATTGACAGCCGCGTAATCTCAAAATTAAAAATCCCATATCCGAATTAAGCAAAAATTATAATTTTCTGTTTGGTTTACAAAATGTCTTCTTACATGCTTCAATATTATGATAGTAGTTACATTACTTATATTTAAAAAGATATTTAAGTTTTTATTTAAGTTTCGCTTTAGCGTTGTTGTAAATTAGAAAACTTGAGGCAAACAGTGTAAATAAATGATCTGTTAAGTGCCCTCACATTTGTCAGAGGTAAAGCTCTTGTCATCTAGGGCAAGTGAAATAATCAATAAATAAAAAGTTGAAATGTGAATATTGTTCTATTCATCGGTTTGACTTTGAACTTTAGTGTCCCCTTTAAAAGCTATTAGCATCCCCAAGAAACCACAACAGTCTCTCTGGATTTTATAGATTACGTTTTACAAAAGGCGGTTTCAGTCAAAGAGCGACCTTCTTTCAAACACTACAACTATCAGAAAGAAATACCGTCAGCAAAGATAGCCCTTTTCATAGATTAGTCTCGTTATGTTTCCTTACGTCAGAGTCTAGCCGCTTTGACCTCAAATCTGTCCAGTGGCACCACAAACGCTGTATCATTCCCATTGAGAATGAAGACAAAATGAGGGGAACAGGTCACAAGACCAACCACAACAGGAAAGCAGAAAAAGAGCAATATCTTTCAAACAATTCGAGTCATTTTGGAACGCCTTTTCAACGAGCGTTGTCTGCCCTAAGGAAGTGATGTCTGTGGACTGTATATATAGTCTGATCTAATGTGCTTTGAAAAAGCTTCTCGCGATTAAAAGTTACGTAAGTTTTGGGTAAGGATAAAGATAGAGAAGTACGAATTTAACCATTTGTCAAGGTTTTAATATTATCCGTTAAAAAGTTAAACCCCACCGTGAGTCAAACAAAATACTCGTTATGGATCTTTAAGGACAAACATTTAATCAACACGGGTGTTAAGAAGTTCCCGAACTTCTAAAATCCTCGTGGACGTTTATTCGTCACAAAAATTTGTGGCATTGCCTGCTCAAAAATTCGCTTGTGCAATTAAAGCGAAATCTGAACAATATGTAAAATGCCGGTCTTAGGTACAATATAGCACTCAAAAGTTTGGGGTTTTCCCTTCGTCTTGCGTCATCATTCTCTTGAATTTCTGGTGAGAAGGAGTATCTAGAGGCAAGCTTTTAGGAGAATGCTGCCAGAATTAGTCTCGCCACCAAATTCGTCGCTAGGTGTGCCACCTGTTCAGTGCAGGAAATGATCAACAACTCGGAAAAGGAGTTTAGACATTTTTCGAGTTAAAAACTGAGTTTCCGTGAGATAAAAATAACAAATACTTTTAAACAAAAAACTCTTTTTTCTGTAGCAACCTAGGCAATATCACACCTACACGAAAATTGCCGACAAGTTTCAGCGAAAAAATCAGGAAATCAACTGAAAAAACAAATCATGCACGATTTCCACATTCTTTTCACGCACGAAATCGTTTCATGGGGCGACACGAACACTGCCGTCTCTGCGACAAGTGCTTCAAAAATATGTTCTGCATTTTGATCATTTTGGACATTCTATAATAAAGAAAAACTCTTTACCCATTTGATCAATCATTTCGTTAATTTAACATGTTAGAAGACTCAGCCGTTAATTCTCGAGAGAAAATTTTGGTTCTTTTGCTTTCACAATTGACTATTGATTCTTAAGATAAATAAAAGGTACTTTCAAAATTACCATGGGGAAAGAAAATCGTCAGTTTAATCCAAGAGGCTTTCTGAGAGCACAAATAAACCTTTCAAAAACAAGCGAGTCGTGTGATTCTTTTTCTCAAGCCAAGAGCTGATTCAACAAAGCATATATTCTTTTGAGATTAGTACTGTTCTTGGCTTGTTCACCCCCAAATGTGTTTGCTCACACGTTGCAAAATTTGATTTTCACACCATCTATTTGAAAAGCTGAATACTGTTGTAATATTTTCAAATGCGCCGTTTCTAGAGAGAAGTTTTCGCCTTGTTGGAATTTCCACTTATTCTAGAGTTAGGTGCGCTATTTTTTCTTTTAATGTTTGTGCAATGGGTACTAATTTAAAGGTGACAAGTACTTGTATCACTAGTTAAGTGAATAAATACGAGTTATCTGAAAAAATAGTAACGTGCAAATTATCATAACGCAAACCTCTTTATACACCACGCTGCAATTATTTATGACAAAACTTCTCTAGCTTTCGTGTATTTCAGGCCTTCGTTTTCAAAAGATATTCAGTGTACAGAGGCGTTACATTTGTATCTGATTGTTCATTTCATTTTTCAATGTATCCGTTTTTGTTAACTAAAAACTAAGCTAAGCTTGAGATCCACGGATCTACAAACTTGTACCTTGAATAATATTCCGCGACAGGCAAACTGCCTAATTGACTTTACACGTTTTTAAGCCATTATCCTTTAGACAAATAAACTAAAAGGTGTATTGATTTAGTATTTCGCGTAATCATTGGTGACTAAGAAACAGGTGACACCTTGAAGGAATTCATTATCAACAAGTCACTGCTGCTGTCGTTATCAGCGCAAATATTCTTCATGAAATGAGAAAAACCATTGGGAAATTACCAAATTAAACTCAAAGGAGAAAAATTAACCTTGAATGAAGAATACACAACCCTTCGAAGTACATTAAAGACAACAGAAATTTGGGTTATGAGCTTCTGAATAAAGATTTCTTTATTGTCTTGATTCTTCTCCATTAACACGTGAAGTGTGGCAATGGTCGCGAGAAATCTACGGGATGTAACTTTTTAAAACGATGAAAAAGCATTATTCAGATGTTCCTTGGGTCTTTCGATTTACTCTTTAATCATAGAGGGTAAATCAGGGGGGACACTCGTTAATTCTTGTTTGACGTGGGAAAGCATTGATAAAACTAAAAAAATTCCATTTTTTACGAGCTGGGGTCTTTCAGCGCGTCGAAAACAATCTGCATTGTTTCGCACTTCTTTCCTTTTTCCTAATATTAGGAACCATTGTCCATCAGAGCAAAGACCGAAAAAGGCTTTCCTAAATACCACCTAAAACACAGAGATATGTTTCAAGGAGATCCCTTCTCGTAGGGGCAGCTAGTACTCTACACTTGGGGTTCAATGGGAGATGACCATAATAGAAAAATAAGAGACTAATTGTTGATCATTCTGAAAAATATTTCCCTGCAACTACTTTCTAAAGGGTGAGAGACTAACTAGGAAAGTTGTTTTCAACAATATGTGGCCCTTTTGCAAAGTAGTAAATCATTGGAAAATATTAAAACACATCGACCTACTTTTTTAATTCCTTTACCAGTAAAAAACAAAAACAATGGTATCTTGAACCCGTATACCGCCAATAAAACTTCGAGATCACAAAGTGCAACACTGAAAGATCTTTAAAAAACTAATGAACTCACGAAATAACCAATTTAAAAGAACAACACACGACAGATTAAGCGTTACAACAAAATTACCACAAAATAACAATATTGAAAACAAATGTTTCCAGACTTTAACCCTAGTTATACTTTTACGCAGTGCTCCCTTTACCACAGAACAAACTCTGTAATTGCTCGGTTTTTTCATGATCAATAATGATTGCTTGTGTGTATGGTTGTATAATAACTTTGAAACTAAAAGTACAGCGAGAAACGAAGCCTGAATTTACTTCAATGAAACCTCAACAACGCTGAGACGTAACAGACCTGAGTTACTCTCGATAAAAAGTAACTGGTGACATGAACCGAAACATGACACAAACGAAAAAAATGGGTCGTAGATCCACATGAAAATTGTCATGACTCAAGGTGCATCGGCATTTTTTCAAAGGCTGGCTTATTTTAAGCAAAATGCTTCATCACTTAATTACCTATTAACAGTTCAAACAGTTCTTTGTATCTAATCTTATCACAAATAAACTGGACCTTATTAAGTATATTGGCCCCCTTGTAAAGGTTCCAAATAATCAATATGGTCTTTTGCCTCAGGCAATAAATATTAACACGGCACGAACATCGAGGAGGTGTCATTAATTATTTGACTGAAAATACTTCATAAAAGGTACTCTTAGATCATAATTCTTAGAGATAATCAGGTAGAATTGTTTACGGGAGTTTACGCACGCCAAAAAACCTCCAGAAATAGGTGGTTGTATGTTTGTTTTCTTTTAAAAAAAAACTATAAACGAAGCAGAAACGAAGTATCAGCGGAAGAGTTCGTTTTGGCCCTCTTATCATATACCAAGGATTTCACTGACATAAATGACTTCAACAAAACACTTTAAGGGAGGCTTCTAGTTTTAGTGAAATTAGATAATTAAAGGCTGAACACTCATTAGGTCAAATCAGTCTTCATTTAATGCTACAGGTGTCCTTTCGACTGCATAAATTAATTCCTTTAGAATCTTGGAGCTTTGAACAGTTCAAAGTCAATGACGACAAATTCAGTTGAGCACTTAGTTTTCTCGTGCACAGCGATATTCTATTCAAGCTTGCAAAGGGATGACTGCACGATATTCTTCCTTAAGCGGACAGCACTCACGCAACGCCCCCCTATCCTTGTGAATGATCATTTTAAGTAATTTACGAGCAATTTACGATGCGAACAGCTTTCAGCTGGGATAAGTAAGAGACATTAACTATCATTAATCACAGCTCTGCCACAGGGATTCAAAATTAACTGTGTCATGATTCAGCAAGTTCGGTTTGTCATGGGTTTTTAGCGATGACGTCCAAGTTCAAGTGGCCGTAAATGTAATACAAAATTTTTGCCCCACGCTATCATTGTTGACTGCTGTATCATGAAAAATAACTACTGATAACTTTCAATATCAATACTAAACGCCACCGAGTCTTTTCCGTTATATTGCGAGGAAAGATGATGAAGGCCAAACAAACATACGCAACAGGAACCTGCCGTCATGCATGTTGTTTTACGTCAGAATATATTTACACAGCGGAAATGAATACGAATAAAGCCGATGATCTTTCACCGTACCAAATTACCAAATTTGGCAAGGTTAAAAATGTTTTAGGGATTAGAAACTTTCTCCTCGAAAAGTTTCTTTAAAGAAAACTTTTTAAAGTTAGATATGAGATCAAGAGACATCCCATACATCTAAAAAAGGGGAACGCGATTATCCATGATCTGATCAAGAAACAAACACATTCACTGCATAAATGGACGTACTTAAAACTGTGACAGTCAAAGTATGCTCCCATTATCATCCCACTCTTTCCGAGTTTTTTAATTATTTTTATCATTATTATCATTATTATCATTATTATTACCATTACCATGATCATTACTAATTTACGTTCCTTACCCTTTCCGTGGGCGTAGTAAGCCACACGGGACGTATAGGCGGTAAAATGTGCGAATAGGGAATATGAAATTTTATTTTTACTACGAGAAAATCAATCAAACGTAAAATAGTATGCTGAGAATTAACCTTCCTCCTATTCAACAGAGAATATGATACATGGGCGCGCGAAAATAAGGAACTTCTCCTTGAATGTTCAGCTCAATATCTTATGAGTGAGAGCAGCGAACGACAGAGATACCGTCAGTTCAACACTCGAGGAGAAATTCCATATCTACAAGCAAACATGTATTATTTTGTCCATTATATAAACAACATATGCCTAGGTGGCGCAAAGCACGAGGGACGTGTAAGCAGCCGATTAGTAAAATCAAAAACACACTGAAAATTATCGTAACTTTAAATGTGCGAAGTTACGGGCTTTCCTTAGAGCTGGAAATCCTTGTAAAACACCACAGTTTCTACAATAAATAAGAATTTTCTGCACCATAACCCTTAAATTGCTAGAATTAATTATCATGTAATTTCTCCTTGCGATGCAAATATGTTATCTTGCAAACAAGTTATGGGAATAGACAAGCTTATCAGTAAGAGGTTGTTCTCTTGTTTAAAGCCTGAAGTCTCCTGTGTTTATTAAAAGGGAATGTAAGACGGTCAGTAGGTAGAATTACTAACTGGATCTTAGGAGTGACAAAGTCATTGGGAGAACGTACACCAATGATTCTTCACGTCGTTAGGTTAAAACCGGTTCGTAAGCCAAGATCTGCTGTTCACACGGGAACGGTTCGCCAATTAGCACTCGATGTACGGCCATATCATTGCAAAACATTCGTAGTGAAGGTAACATTCGGTATCAAGTTGGATCAAAAAATGTACAAGAAAAAGGGGCCTAGATTATGGTAATCTTTCATCGATAGAAAGCCAAAAAAGAATGAGAAATTGTCAAACAGCCTTTTGCTGTGTTGCAGTGCACATGTATATACTTTTTCAACAATTGGACATTATGTTCAGCAAGTAAGATAAAATAACAGATGAGCCTGTGTACTCTTCTAAGTAATCTAAAAAAGTTTAAGTATATTCAAACTAACAGAAAAATATATATAAATTTCTTCAAGATTCACAGAACCCATTGATCAAACTTAATCCTCTACCTGAAAAAGATGCAAACCCTGGGAAAAGAAAAGGAGCAGATAAAAAACAATTTTAAAAAAACCATGACCTAGTCACTAGACTCCTAACCAAAAGCAACATGAACATGTACCTTATTGACAACCTCTGTTCTTTAACAACCCACCACTACCCACCCCCACCCCCCACCTTTACCTTTTCACTCATTTGCCTCCATCATAAAGACAGAAGTTTAAAGCAGTTGACTTCTTGGTGATATGTATTCAAGTCTTTCCTGTATGGGGTCATTTATGCATACAGTGTGTGGCAGTGGTTTTAGTACATAATGAGACACTTAAATAGTGCCTTAACAAAGTTACCTGCAGTATGAATTTATAATAGTGAATAACTTAAGTTTTTCAAAATATAAATCTTCATGACACTCTTTTAATTCTAATTTCTTTGTTATTTAAACCATGACAACATGATGGAATAAGAAAAATTAACCAGTTTCATGTTCATGTGCATGACAACAATTTTTAGGTTACAAAGAAAAATAAAATTTAAAAATTTAATGGTAACAAAAGTATCATGAACACATATAAGTAATGGGGACAAAGGGTCACATTCTAAGGAGATATAAGAGTTACCATATAAGGCAAGGCCTACCGATGTGATTTGCCAGTACCTTGTAATCCTCAATGCATTCTGAGGTTGCTGACACAAAGGGGTGTTCCATTTTCCTGGAATTTGACAAATGTCACAAGTCATGCAAATAAAATTAGATCTGGTAATAAGACTCCAGAACAAAACAAAGTCAAACTAATCATAAGTCTTTGGGCCATCCCTTCTTTATTGGTAACAACAAAGTGAACATCAGTGGGACTGGGTACTAAGCCATCAAGAATAGCAAAGGGCAGAAAACACTTAACATTTCATATTTCAATTCTGAAATTGCAAATGTAATGGATAGTGCTGCCATAAGATTTCATCAATAACTTTCATCAATAACCTAGAGACATATCCTGGATACTTGGACATATGAAAGAGGCCAGGATATTTATCCTAACTTTTAAGATGCCATTTTAGAGACATCCCTTCAGTTTTCTTTTATCTCACCTTCAAGACAATACTTAGGAAGACTGTCCAAGGATGGCTTACTTTTTCATTTCTTTACTACATTACTTTTTCTTAGTTTCCATCATTAAGAACAAGTAATGTTGGTTCTTTCAATACACAAGAAGATATCTTGACAACTACAAATAGTCCTCTTCCAGCCCTAAAGTGACACCAAAGTATGTTACAACTCTGAGAAAACTAAGTTCAATGGGCATCTCTGTCAACTCTGTCATCCTGGGTTTATTGCAAAGTTGTAATGCTACTGTTTATTCAGTTAAGTGTGAAAAACCTAAATTTTAAAAAAATTCAAATTATAAACTATTTCCTCTGCCATAACTACTAAGTTAAACATATATCCATCACAGCAATACATCTTTTAAAAGCATTTCCCAAATAAGATGGTTTTATGACCTCAGTAATTCTGGTTGAAAAAAACATGTATCTACCCTTTCACTGCCACAAGTGACCGAAACACAATTCTCTGTACCATGTCAATACATTTTAAAGCAGAAAGGTGATAAGACAAGAAGGGAAAATATAAAGTAAGAAGAGCTGTTTGATTTTACACCAAATTCTTTTTGCTAAAACTGTTAAACATAAAAAAGTTAAAAAATAGGAAGGCAGACAACGTAGAGAATTTATATTTGGAACTTGGGGGTTATAACAACTTCCTATATGAGAACTCAAAGCCATAATGTTGGCCTTGCCATGTTGATGAGAGCTTAGTCTAATAACTATTAACTTTAAGGTTGACAAAACAGGTCGTGGCTGCTAAATTGATGGCTCATTTTGGCAGTATGGACATAGTGTCACTACCAATGTCTTCAATTAAATATTAAAGCGCGGTATAACCTTAAAGCGCTGTTATTGTTTCAGTCTATGCTGTAAAAATTCCTTTGAGGAAGTACAAATATTTCAATAAAGGTATCGTTCAGGGAGTTCTTTGGCGCTTTACTCTGTAATGCTTCAAGATTTAGTGAGGAATTCTGGAAGTGAAACCAGGAATAAACCATTTTCATGAAGTCACGAAGGGAAGAAACTCGCTGTGGCGCTTCTTCGTGCAAGCTGTGAATCATAGATGCCATCCATGTTACAAGAGAGCTATGAAAAAGAACTATCCAACGCAAAAAAAGCTACGAACAACACATCAAACTTTGAAATTACCTGTAGAGCGAGTTCCGAGTCTCGTAATACCACAACACAAAGTCTTACAGCTGTAAGAAAGTCGCCATCACTCTTGCTGAATTTGTAACCGCGCACGAATCATCCGCTTCGCATGATTGGTAGAAATATGACAGGTGAGTAAGCTCAAGTTTGCGCGGGAAATTTTGTTGATTGACCGCACTTTCTTCTAGCACAAGCGAAAGTCAAGTAAACTTATAAAATATCAAAGCAGAAGGAAAGAGCTTATCATTAGGAACTTCTATCTCCCATGTCATGCCAAGGGAAAATAAGGGGACATTATTTTCCCTTGGCCATGCATGAAGAGTCGATCCTTTCCCAGAAAGAGATATTAATAATAAAGTTCCAAGATAAAGTTCATGGCAATACGTTTCGTTCTTACCGACACTCTTCAACACAGCTTACTTGGGGAATCGATGTATAAGTCCTTGGAAAAAAAACTTAGACATTTCATTACACTACGCTCTAGCAAATTCAATTATCCATATTATTAATTTTGATTCGGGCCAAAAAAAAAAAAAAAACCCTCGAAAATATAATTTACTCGAGAAAAGCTGAAAATGATGAAGAATGACATGCAGTTATTTATTTTACAACCTTCCATAAGCGCTGCGCAGACAAAACACTTCAAATCTTACGCCGGGTAATGTCATTCTCGCCGTGTTCATGCAGGAGGGGAAACGCGGGTCATCTTCCGTGCCTAGGTGCGACTATCTGGTCTCAGAATTCTCAATGTCATTATCAACCGCCTCCTAGTTAGCTCAATTGGTAGAGCGCCGGATTGTTGCGCGGGAGGTCGAGGGTTCAAGCCCCGGCCGGACCAGCGCTCAGGGTCTTAAAATAACTGAGGAGAATTTGCTACCTTCCTATAATATCAAGAAATGGATAGATATTCTAGTCTTCTCGAATAAGGACGAATGAACCGTAGGCCCCGTCTCCTGCAGGGTTAGGGGTAGGAGACGTTAATTTCCCACGCAAGAGATTACTGTGTGGTGGATGTCCTCCCCTGGGGTGGAATGGGTGGGTTTACTGGGCCAGCAGTAATTGGCGCAAGCTGTTGCGGTGTCCCTGCCTGTCGGCGAATCTAACAAATTGTCGAAAGGCTGATAGTTTCTAAAGAAACTGTTTGGCGCTGCGTCGGTGGGGATAACGAAATAATTTGAATATATCATGAACAAAGTTGAAATGGTAAATTGGCCACCGTTACGGTTATAAAAGCTGACGTTTCGAGCGTTAGCCCTTCGTCGGGGCGTATTCGTTAATCCTTCGTCGGAGTCCTTCGTCATTCGCTCCGACGAAGGGCTAACGCTCGAAACGTCAGCTTTTATAACCGTAACGGTGGCCAATTTAACATTTCAACTTTGTTGATATATTCAAATTATTAATAAATTGTTGGTCGCCCCATCCGATAGACTACTGATAGAGGGTCTCAATGGGGTAAACCGTCAACTATCAAATGGCCAAACATTAATCATCAAGATATTTGCCGTCAGTCTTTAGTAATGCCAGCCAATATAAGTTTTCAAATCTCTTGGATATTCATCAAAATGGAATCAAGATACGTTATGCACAAGCAATCGGGTGAACGTTTTACATAATAAACTTATAGGAAGGTCTGAGTAAATATACATTCATTTCACATTCCGAGGATATGTGTGGAATAATCTGACTGCATGGGACATTGATTGTCTTGGAAAAATTCCGGCTGTATCGTTGAGCCTTCATAGGTATGTTGATCGATACATGGTTCAATGCTGTGTAACCACTCACTCTCCAACCCACTGATGACGGCTGAGCGATTCCGCCGAAACATTTTCAAGAAAATCAAAACGTTGCAGTCAGATTCTTCTACACATTATGTTAAAGCTCCTCGACGATTACAACTAAAGCAACACTCCAAGCTTGAAGGTGTGAAGAAGTTTTCGAAATCCTCCAAGGTATTTCTGCCTTCTGACACAGACTCCTTCAAGTTTTGATAATTTTATGATAATTCATTCATTCAAATATTTTCAAAATTGTGCCCTTTGAAAGAGATTTAATGCACAAATAGCAAGGATGAAACCTTAACTCCAAAAAATCAACCGTCAGCCGCCATAGGGTTTAAAATGTAATCGTCTGCCATCAAAACGGCTCAGTTTCTGTACAACAGTAAACGGTCATTAATACTAGCCCACTGAGACTCTCTCAATACAAGTTTATTTTGTTCCCTACTACTGCAATTTTTCAGTTTGCTCTTGAGCTTTATGACCTCTGCATAAGACGAAGTTATCTCATCTAGACCTCAACAAACAACAACCTTTGACGCTTATTTGGCAAAGTCATTGAATCTAACTTTATTTACCACTTCTTAATTAATTCACATACTTTATATTCTGCCTGTTAATTAAATGTTTAACCATATCATTAATACCCAAATCAGACAGCAGACAGACTCTAATTGCAAGGAAACGACAAAGCCTTGAAATTGTTCGGAAACCGCTTTTCCTAAAATAAATGTAGTCCAAGGTGACACAGCGAAAAGTGAAGAAGAAATGTGGCTTCGTGAAATCTTAGATTAGAAAAAATACATCTATGGCTATGCACCTGTTTAACTAGACCAACCAATCTACCGACAAAATCGAGGTCTTAGACGCACCAAGCATGTCAGCGTTTATAAATAAGTCAAATAAGAAACATATTTCACTATTTAAATATATTTTCAATTCCTCGTTTTACAAAAAGCACAGATTCTAGTAATAAGTTACATTAACGTCAAAACGATAGATAGTCGTTGATTGCTGAGGTGTTCTGAATACTATGTACAACATTTGAAGATGGTGAACTGGATTTTCGAGTTGTAATTATGCTTTCTATACGAATGTCTTGCTGATTTTATGACCTTAGAGGCCAATAACCAATTATATAAGTCGATGTGTAAAAAAAATAATTAGCGATGTTGTTGATCAATTTTTTTTTTAGCCCCAAAGTAATTTCTTTACGAGTCAATTTTTTACGCAGACTGGTGGTTTATTTCTACTTGGCTGGACTTCTTGTAATAAACAAGCCAGAGTCGTTGAATTGGTCCTCCTAAAGAGCCCTATCAAATGACATCTTAATTAAGTTCTTTTGGAACTCGATTTCTTGAAAGGCTAATACACAAGTCTTAACCCATGCATTTATCACAGCATGGCTCGAGCTAAGCGCTGAAACCTAATTGGATTCCTTACAACAAAGTAACAAAAAGCACCTCGTTTCATTTCATTTATAATAATCGTCAGCGCACGGAATAGTTAAAAATGGCTCTGTATTGCATGTAAATTGACGGATTATAAGTTAAACAGTCTTGTTTCTTTCAGCTAATGATTGTGCGGTACTGTGTTGCTTTGCTTTGTATCTCAGATTTTCTATGCTTGTTCTTCGAAATTCTTGAGTTTCCGATGGGTTCTTTAGAAATGGTGACATTCCCGGTCTAACGTACTGTCTGTACAAATGATGCGTATACATCGCCGCTGGTGAGAGTGCGGGAACGTTAAGATGAGCTCCTAGAGGACCATATGGACTTGGTGCAGTGGCGAAAGGAGACAAAAGGCTCAGGGCTGGGACGTGCGGGTGCCATCTATCCACTCCTGGAGTGAAGGGATGTACGCCAGGGTGCACATGTGGAACATCTTGAAGGGCCCGGTAGTCATTCGAGGGCCCGTAAAGGTATGTGGGGCTTTCGCGTCCCATGGACTTTTCACGTTTTCTCCACTTAGCTCTTCTGTTTTGAAACCATACCTGGAAGGGGCACGATGGAAGAGAAAGTTCGAATTAGTAATTATACAACAAAATCGAAGAAATGAATGAAGGAACTGAAAGTTGAGGATTGACCTCCTCTAAGGCGACTACGAGGCAAACCCACGCGTTGGAAGTCAAAACTAGCGACGAAACGATAAAGGAAATTTAATCTTCAAAAACGACCGAAAAACCCTCCATATCTATTCGTTGCCATAATAATAATGTTTATTCAAACCTTTTGCAGAGAATGCTGAATTGCAGGTTGATAAATTATATTAACAAGAAATACGGAAAAAAAGAGGAAAACTGTACAAAATGCATTAAGCTACATACAAGTAAAAACAGCATCTACACAGTAATAACAATACTAAATGATAATAATGTTCATTACAGAAGAACGAGTATAATTAAGTTGGCAGGTTCTTGACTGTCACAAAGTTCTTAAAACGGTCGGTGGACTTTTTTGGAATGATACTGAGTACGATTTGATCTTAAATTATAGCGGTCTGAATATTTACGAACGTCGGCATACATTGCAGTATGAAGGGGGTTGTCATTATGATTACGACTTATAAAGGATTCACAGGCGTGTATCAAGGGTTTAATTACCGGCTAGCATCAAGGTATCTGAGTACGAATGACCTGGCCAAATAATGGCGAGAGCACGCCTCTGCACTGACTCTAGGGTCTTAGATAAGTAGGAAGGTAAATTGGCAAATGCAGTAGAGGCGTACTCAAGTACAGACTGAACGTATTAGGCAGCAATAGATGTAGACGATATCTTCCGCTGGGACAGAACTTCTCCTGAGCTGCCTTAAAGCAAACAACCGCCTGTTAGCCTTCTTCAGCAGATCGTCAACATGCGTCCCCCAGGAAAGGTCATTGGACAAGTTGACGCCTAGCAGCTTGAACGACGAGACATCTTCTATGACAGCGCCCCCCGATACGACCGGGGGCGCCTTGTAACTATTATACTGAAGGAAGCTAACAGCCATGCACTTGCATTTAGTAGGATTAAGGCGCATGTTATTGGTGTTAGCAAAATTTTAGATGTCATTCACAAGGAAGTTAAGCACAGAAGGAGAATTTCTTGGCAGAATTTCCATGATAGTTAAGTCATCAACAAACTTGACACGCAAGCCCCGGGAAGACATCAGGTCATTAACCATGCAAGCAAACAAACATTCTTCCCCATTATTCGATACAAATATAACTGATCTTTCTAACCCGGGTATTTAGATCCAGAGAAAAGTCTAGCCAAGAACTGAAACGAGAAACAACTGTTTCATGAAAGTCGCCGCCGCAAGGAAGTTGGCCAGTTTAGAATGGCGTAACAACACAAGGCCACGAGTTTTTAGTCACAACATGCGCCACTTTGCCCAGTGGTCAGTAATTAACAGCAATCATTCTCGACTGGCACCACAATGCCATCCATAAACGCTATTAATACCGCTTCCAACAACAATCACTTTAATAGTTGTCCTTTCTTGGCTAGTCTGCAGCTGTCCTAAACAATAAACGTCCCACACTTATTGTTTAAGCATTGTTCGAGTAACGTTATTTCAACACTCAGATTATTTTTAATGGAACGAACCCGATACATTATACGTTGAAGGATTATCAGTGTGAAAAATCCTCGATAAGCTGCCTTTTAAACTTTCAACTTCGAGACACACTGAGTGATCTCAGTTGTCAAATGCATCGTCCTGTCTGTCTTTCTTAAGGAGCTTCGATGTCTCTCTTTTCTCTATTCAATAACGAGGTTTATCGAACATCGCATTATGTCTTTTGTTCAGTCTCGGCGCATCACCCATTTAAATAAATTAAATTTTCCACACGATTGTAGCAAAAGACAGCTAAAGTACCGGGCGGTTCTAAAAATACATGCGTATCACTCTTCGGACAAAAAAAAAAAGGAAAACCGCGTGGCAACAAAAAGAGGAACGCCATGCTTTGGGCACGTGTCGAAGTGTTGAAACCACATGTATTAAGGAAAACTAGCGACATAATACACTTACTCAGTGACAGCAATTAGCAAACAGCTTTCCTTATTCTTCTCTATTTTTAAGAAAAAAGCGGTTAAAAAAACTCTTGCACTGCTGAAAGAAGGTAAAACTATACCTTTCTTCCAAACGTGGGTTTGACAGAAATACGACAGAAATACCGGTATCTGGAACTAAGGATTCTATAAAGCCATGTAATTTGAGGTTGCTCTCGGGGAATTGGAATCAAAACCATGTTGTGTTATATACATTGGAGAGATTTTGTCCAAACGCATAAATGTGCTAAAAGGTTTTAGCAAGAATTTTTTCGCTTTTAAACTTCGGCGACATTTGTAGTCCATTATGCTTTGCTTTTTAATACAATCACGTTTAATAGATAAGATTAATGGTGTTGGTATCAATTAGAACCGATAAAGGTCTATGAGAAATAGATTTCGGACGTATTAAAGGCTTAATATAATCCTTAATTTGTTTAATATATTTATCGTTACAGAGCCATTGTTCCAGCACGAGAAACGATTTCGCGAAACTGTCTTCTTCGCTCAGACTTATTTCGATTGTAATGGCCCCATTAGAAAACAAAGACTAATTTGTAAATGCATTAAATGTATAAACAGGAAACAGAGCCATTTCAGCACCAATAAATTTTCTTTACTGTCACTTTATCGTTTTTGAATCTCGACACAGATAAGATTGAAAGATGAGGCGGCCATATTTCCATTCTTTCTGGATTTCAATGATTCCTTAACTAATTGAAAGTTTTGCCTAGCAGTGTTCTCACTAGAAATCAAAGCTTTTAGTTTCTTCGTAAATCATGTTTGATACAGGACAAACTTTAAAATAAATTGCAGATATGATGTGGCTACAGAAGCAGTGTGTATTTAGCTAGCAAGAATGCGAATTCGAGGACTTTTCTTCACTGGGTCTTCGAACGGTAGGTAGGGTAAAGTGATCTTTTCTATCAAAATTTTAAGACCAAAAGGGCAACAGTTGTTTGGCTAACTTAGCACAGTCGTAGTCTTGGCAAAGGAGGCTTTAGTTTCTTCTTTTAAACCTGTTTCCGTCCATTTCTTATTATCTTGTGATAGGAAAATTCATATATGAATCATTGAAATGAATTTTGCATGCAACCCCAGGAAAAGAAAAAGTGTTATCGCGTGTATAACACAATTTAAAGATACACAGCATTCAGATAATATATGGGCTTATGTGAAAAGAAGCTGTTTGACGAAGATTTTTATCTAATAGCCTATATTTTCATATCATTAAGAAATATTGAGAAAATGCAATAGACGCCATGGGTTTACAAAAGCACTAAAGAGGCAGATAGAGACAGAATTGGAGCTAAAATGTGCCGCCAAATTATGAAATACATGCAGCTCTGAGATCTAGAAAGCTGAACGTATAGTTTCACATTTCCTGTAATGAAATACGGAAAAAATCAGATTTTGTGTTGATTAACTGGGTAATTAAAATTCTTTCAACTCTTTATTAGGTGCGTTATCTGTAGCATTCGCCATAGGCCTTTTAGCTTAAGCTGAAATCAATATTTGGTATTTCATTAACAACATGCTATGAGATAAAAAGTCTTCATTCTAAATCCCTGTCGAAACGAGGAGTGGTTTGTCAAGATTGAAAATCTGATTTCGCAACTTATTCCTTAGCTAATCAGTATTACTACAAAAAGCCCAAGCTATAGACATATTAGGGTGTTTTTCTTCATGTTATGCATTTTTAAGTCTGCCAAACTATCAATTTAAACCTACAGATGTTGGACTTTTGTCTGTGTAATTTTGCCTTCCGGCAAAGTGATTGAGTGAGCGTTCCCTTCTGAATACAAATTAACTTGATGTAGCACGCAAGCATTTATGAAGTAACTCTTTTAGAAACTTTAATCACTGTACCTTGTTTTGTAAATTAAAAACTAAAACAAAACCCGTCGCAGAAAACTTGGAGCCAAATAAAATTTTAAGTGAGCGAACAAGAAACGTTTCGACTCTGGCATACCGAGGAGTGTTCAAAAAAGTGGGTTTCATAACAACATTGTTTGTGGCACCTTTTTAAGCGTGTGTGTATTGAAAACAGAACGAGTGTGTACAAAGAAGATTTTTTATAGCTCTAAACTAGGTGCCAATCAGATTTTTTTTCAAATCCGCGTTAACTTTATTACTTTTTAGAAAAACATTAGTTTCAACAAGAATTACGGTTTAATTTATATGAGTACACAAGTACGTGGCAATGTTTTCAACTTTATCCTTTTGTTTGTCACCCCAAATTAGTCCAGTAATCCTTGACACTTTACCGTCATCAAGTACTTTCTAGAGGAAACATATTTTGTGCATATTCAAAAGGAAAAAGCGAAAGGATGTCAGAAATGTTTCTCTGACTGCAGTGAACCTCGACGACAACTCAATGGGAGAGAAATGCCTAAAGTCATGACGACTGTAAATAGCTTTCTTGTAACTGTCCGACACTGGTATTTTAGGTAAAAAAGAAAGAAATGAAATTTTCAAGCTTCTATCCTTCTCCCTTTTTGCTGAGCAATCCTAAGTTGATTTCGTCTGACGTAATTACAATGACACAGGACTTAGTCAAGTTTTGAAAGCGAGAGGTTATTCGTAATTAAGTCATTCAATTTCCTACCACCAAACCCCTGGGGCAAATGGTTATTTTTGTGGCTGCGTCGCGCCATTGAAATTATTATAAAGGCAGCCTGGCTTGTTCAAAAGGTCCTGCGCTAATTGCCAATTCTAATATCTACGTCATGTTTAATTATCCACTTTGTCCTCATGGCTGTTCAATATAACCCATTAATACGACAAAATAATTGCCTCAATTGTACTGTCTTTGTATACATATTCACTTAAAATGCAATTTACAGCGGCTAATAGCTTTTCGTCAGAACTAAATGAATTCAGAGCGATACCAAGAAAGGAACGCTTTGCCCCAAACACTATCATTGCAATATGATAAAAACTTTTTTGTTTCAATCTATTAATTACCCTACAAACATCTTTTCGAGCGCGTACGTTAAACTGTTATTTGCGAAAGAGTAGAAAGAGGCTTTGGTATACACTTTTACACGCCGACAACTGGATGTAAATTTCAATATCTTTGAAATTTCACAAAACCTTCCGAAATTTAATTACATGGCATAAAAAATGTCACAACTCGAGCTTAACGTCTGTTGTCTTGGGCATTTAGAGACAGCCGCGTTTCGAACCAAATTGCATCATTATTAAGCCCATTTCATTTATTTCGCTTTCAAAACGTGAACGAGTTACTTTTCAACCAAATTTCCCTTTCAAGCGAAATTTCGTTTATAAGCAGATTAACACGTTCCGCTCTACGGTCTTCGGGCGTAACCGCGTTGTCAGGCCGTGGCGTGGGTAACGTCCAGCGTTTCGTCATTCACACTATTTTCGTCATAAAACGTTATTCAGACGGCAATTTTTTTTCCTCTTAGACAGCAATTCCAAAAGTTGTGATCAAAATAGCTGGATAATAAGAATCACTTGCGTCAACAAGTTATCCGTCTGTGAATTTCCTACGCATTCAAATGCAAAGTTGTTTTTTTCACTGTCGTTCCATACTCGCTCTTTAATGAAATGTTATTAGAGTTACAAATGTTAAAAATAACTTAAAATCTGTCGTAAATACTAGGTTGTAAATCATCTTTTTAATGAGTAAGGCGACTAGAGTTGTTACTTCATCAGCTTGATTTTCACCCACATAATTGATGAAACAAAAGCTTCTTACTGTATCACAACTGCTCAATCGCAAAAGTTTAAATATTGTTGCATTCTCAAAAAAGATGACTCGGACGCCACGCAACCAGATCAGGACTTGCCACTTAAAACACCCTTTCTTACAAACCACTTTTAATTTTAATTATATATACATTTTTTTTTTTTTTTTTTTTTTTTAGTGTTTCCTCTTTCGTAATGGGAAAGAACCATAAATAATCTGCAGTGAAGTGAACTGAATACGGGACAAAATGCACAGTCATATAGCAGAAAAGTCACGAGTTGATTTTATCACGTTTTCAACAAAAACTTGAGTTTAAACATAGAAGATTCGCGCCGCCTCTCACAGCGACTACTGACAAAATTCCGATTTGTAACTTAGATATCTTACTCCGCGGCAGCTTCACCTCGAATAGTCTCGCCATTTTTTGTATCTATTTAGATATAGAACTAGCCATAAATTATTTAAAAACCTCACTCACTTGTACTCGTGCCTCGCTTAAGTCCAGCCTCAAGGCTAACTCTTCCCTTGTGAAAACGTCTGGATATTGTGTTTTCTCAAAAGCGCGCTCCAGTTGGTGAAGTTGGTAGGTCGTAAAGGTGGTGCGACTTCGACGCATTTTCCTCGGCTTGCCATCATTTTCGTCAAGGTCGTCCTCATCCTTGAATCCTTTTTCGTCGCCCACACTCAGATCATCTAATAAATGAGAAAATTAACTGGATAAATAAACGCACAGCAAGCTGGTTAACTGCATTTTAATACCGCAAGAGTTACCTTCGCGTCTGCCTCAAGTAAATTTGCAAATCACGGCCGTCGCATTGAGCATCGACAAGGTTTACTGTGCAAATACGGAGTTCCGAAAGTTAGTCATGGTTCGAGCTCGCAAAAATTCACGCTCGTGGTTGGAATTGAAAGCGAAGTAAACATTTCCTCGTTGTTTGACAATTCAAGGATGGGGAAATTGAAGTTTAAACACGAAATTAGCACCTCCTCTAAAGCTTTCCGCTATGTTTGCAGAGCGTTCAGCGAAAAGACAAGACGAGGGCACTGAAATTCCTTGAGTAAACTGTCTCAAGTGTGTCATAAGATTGTAATATCAACTTGAAAGCGAACGCAGTAATGGTTTATTTAAATTACCTTCATCGTCGCTAGAATTTCTTGACAGCTTGCCTTCTTGTTCGAATGCGTCCTCCTGTTTGGGTTTTGGTCTTCGATCGTGAGTTCCAAGAATCATATCGATCGTGTAACCTTTACTTGAAGCTTGAATAAGGGCCGATTCTATCGAGTGCTCTGATCCATTTTGCGTTTCTTTTTCCTTCTTCTCCGTGAATACCATACTCGGTCGCGCCGCCGAATCCATTGTCAGTCCACCGTCCACTCTGCAAACCAACCAAGAGTGTTTGTCCTCGCCAAGGAGTAGCTTCGTCCTTAACAATTTTTATTTGAAAAGAAAAGTTAGATTAATGCAGATTTTATATTTGCCCCTAATCTTCGTCCTTTGTTAGTTAATCAAAATGACCGACTGTCATAGTTTTAATCAATGTTTATTTGTTCAAACAAAGGCCTTAAAATAAATAGGCGATTTTCCGCAACCAATCAGCGGGCCGCGTTATGATTAAGGCGATATTAACAATATAATACTTAAGTTTGTTTGTTCCTTTGGCCCCCATGGCCTCTTCTTAACACTATTCCACCCAGGAAGTTGATAAAATGTATTTGTGTCATCATCTTGTTGTCTTAATTCTAGCTATTACATGTTAATAGGTTCTGAGTGGCGAAGGTAAAATTGACGCCAAGATGTCGAAGTTGCGCATCTCCGGAATTCGAACACCGTGGAGTTTTTGTCGAAATTTCGCACTTCAAAAGCTGGACAGCAACGTCTTTGACCGCTGTGAGGTGATTAAAGAGACTCTATAATACAATTAACGCTCAATGAAGATTATTAAAATGTCTCTGTAGCCATGGATGTTTTAACACTTCGTTCGTTGTTTCACTAAGGCAATAGGGTTAATAAATCAATTAAATTTCAGTCGAAGCCAATTTGGTTCGGAAGGACGTGATCGGATATTACGAAAGCTTCGCGGCTGCTGCAATGCGGAGCATATCGAGAATGATTTTTAACTCTTCACTTCTTTGAAAAGATAAACTCAGCGATTATTCAACGAGGCAGGTTTTGCACAGCACGCTGCTACTCAACTTGAAATCTAGGCCAAGCTGAGACGTTCATTATACTCACAAAATGTTTATCATACTTTTTAATTTCAAGCTGATAAAGCACAAAAGGCTTATTCTTCACAGCAGAGCACGATTTCTAACTCATTTCTTCGCCCTTTGTCCTGAAAGGTGTGCAAGAACGCTAATGTATTCGTAACTTTCTAATTAAAGAACAATCCGTTGTGTCGGCCTAACAATTGCCTTGCAAATTAAATGAATACGGATAAAGAAGTCCGCTGGAATATTTCAAAGATAACTAATTAATTATAGCCCTGGGCAAGGCAGTTGTTTATCTTTGTCGAAACCAAAGCGTGTTTTTTCTCAGTATTCGTAGGTTAATGGCCTATTTATAAAACTATTAGGACTAAGTTCTTATTGCGTCATGTTTGGTGGCTCTTGAAGTCCAAAACGCCACTGACTTCACAAACATTCATTTATCATTAGTTTATAACCAACCACAGGGCTTTAGAACACAAGAGATCCTTTATGTGGCTGGCTTTTAGAGGTTTTGTTTATTGTATCTTTTCAATGCCTTCTTACGTTTGAAAATGAGAATATTGGATCTTTACTTAACGCGGATTACATTGGTTGAACATAGCCTGCAGCCAACTTGAATAACACAAAAGGAAAAATCCATAATGGCGCCGAGATTTTCTCGACCTTATGATCTATCTTCCGTTGGTTTCGGCGTGTTTCCTGAATGGGTAGCAACATACGCAAATGTGATTAATAGAGAAAGGAAGGTTCAGGAATTCTCGGTGTCGCAAAATTAAAAATCAGCTCACGTAGAAATTTTTGTAAAATAACACGCCGTAAGAGTGTTTCCTTACTTTACTCGCCTATTTTTATACAACTCTTAAAATTGGTGTCGTGTCATGAGACAAAGCATACCGGTCACTTAGCTCACCACTTGATGTTTGGCCTTCTGTTCATGGTGGAGAATAAACTAAGTGGACAAAGAGAGATAAATAAATGACCACCGACAAGCATCAATATAAAATAAGGCGTTAATATATGGATGTTTGCAATAACCGACTAACAATATTGTCTTTTGGCCAAAGGTTATCGTAACACTGGGAATTTGGAATTCAACACAGTTGTCAGACTATTCGCCGTATATTTATGGAACCAACTTAGAAACAGGCGTATAGAAAACATGTCCTCTTTTTCGCTCAATAAGCAAAAGAGTGCGTTTATATCAGAAAGAATTTGTCTTGAATTCTTCATGATTCGATCACAAAAGAAATAATTTCAAACAATCAAATACAGGAACTTATGGAAAAAACCTATAGAAAACGCGGTTTTCTCGTCATACTATCGTAACTCTTAGGAAGCACGTATTTGATTTCAAGAGGTTAAATTAAATGTTTTGTCATTCTTACACAAAACAAGTAATATCACATAAGCTTATTAGACCCGCATATTGGAAGGAAAACAAAACTGGTCACAACATCTGACCATCATTACTACGCGAGATCTCTTCGAAGAGCTGTACGTCAAAGTAGTTTCCTGCGAGTTCTTAATTTGTTACAAAACATTTCACGAATAACTATGCCACAAGTATCGTTATTTTTCAAACGTTGTCTCTTTTGAAAATATAACATTTTCGCGTCCCTTCTGGAAAAATTTCCAACGGAAGGAAAATTATTTATCCATCGTACCCAGTTTGACGTTGTTATCAACTTTGCTTCACGGCGCTGTTAGAATAATCTGTAATGACTACTTTGTGAATTGGATGAAAAGCGAAACATCAAAGTTCAAAATTTATCCACACAGGAAGCGCTCGAAAACTTTCAGTGGTCCATACAGACAGAGTATCGACCACAAAATATCGGAACGTCCTATCGGATCGAATTCTCATATAAAACCTGGACTGATTCTTCGTTTTGCGCTTTTGATAATTATTAAATTTGACACCTTTCTTTATCTGGGTCTTTAAAAACGTAAAACGCTTGACAAGGAATAATCGTTGTTGGGGAAAAATTTAAAAAAAGAGCGCCGTAATTTTTGTACGTCATGAGATCAGAGGAATATAACTATTTTCTAAAAAATAGGGAATCACGTCGCAAAGTGCCTTGTCGTTCTTTGTGTAAGAATCTTTTCAGGAGGATCATTTGCAGCAAAATCACCTGCTTTGTAGCCATAAGAAACTGAAAGTAGGAGCACTCCCTTCGCCTTATTTTGTTTTCTATTTCCCTCGTTTCTTCGACTTTCAGTTTAATTTTAATAAAAAAAGTTTTGTAAACATCGCAAAAAGCCTCGTGTTGCAATCTTTAGAGCATTAAATTTCTGTTTTTCTATCATCAGTCCCAATTTAAAACAAAATTACATCTCTTTCTGTTTGTCACCTTCTTATTTGTTTCAAGGAGATACATTCCAGCGTGTCTATCTTATTTAAAAACGTCAAACTTAAAGTTTTGAAGTTCATCACTTGCAGCTTCCATTATATCCTTCATCCTTACTTCAGTTTTGTACGTCTTGTCGTTTTTTACTAGAAAAAATTATCACACAACCTCAAGGTTATTAATGAAATTCTCTTTGAGTTGAAAATGGCTCAAGATCCGATGAAGCAAAGAAAACGTAAGCTATGCTGATATGAGTTAATCTTAATTGCCTCTATTTTCAATCACAGCTAGCTTATAAGAAATTATTTTATACCGCACCTGTAGGCTGCCTTTGTGAAGATATCTGAGATTCCTGTCGCAATAGTGTGGTTAAAGGTGGAATTTTACGAGAAATTTTATTAGTTAGAATCATTTAGTTGTTGAGTCCAGATTGAAAAGCAGAAAACCGCAAATATGTCAATTTCTGTAGAATATGAATGGACTGTTCACTACCGACAGAAAAGAGCTCGTGATTTAAAAGCCTGGTTTTTAAATCACGGTCGGGGAATCTGAACCCTCAAAGTAAGTATTTCATCTTTATAAAGGTATGCACTAAAGGGGTAAAGGAACAAAAAGGATAAACTGCAAGTATCCTCCTTTTTAACAAGCGGAACGAGTTCTGTAGATTTGCTGGATTAATGAGGGGCTTGATTTGAGGATGCAACCCTAAAGACTGATGTCAGACACTCATTTTAATTTGTTGAAATTAGACTCTAGCGTTTAAAGTTTGATTGATTTACGAACGCGTGCTAATGGTTTCCCCTGCCGAGTCATGATTACAAGAGTTCATTGGTGTGCGAATGACGTGTATATAAAGCGATTAATGTTGTAGTATGACGCAAATGAGCTGTCAGTCGCAAATAGAACGAAATAATTTATTGCTCAGTCGTTTTATGGTGACTCATGTAATACTGTACAATAATTAAGCATTGACTACGCGGAGATTTAATTGCGGGCAAATTACCAGCGTCTATACTTGAAAAATGTCTTGACTTCCCGCTCCTCGAATCCTGGAAACAAGATAAAGACTGTCAGTTGACATTTTCGAATTAATCCACTTAACGTCATAAGTAGAGGAGATTTTGTTATAATTTCACAAAATTGCGGAAAAGCTTAACTTGTTGATGTAAGATATTAGTTATCTTACCCGGAGGCCGGGGTTCCGCAAGCTCATCAAATAGCTAAATAAATCATGATATTTTTCCGTGTGGTTGTGAATTGAAAATTGTTGTGAACCAGTTTTAATCAAGTTCTTTTGATCCACGCGCGTAGAGTTGATGAGTCACGAAAGTTTCGAAACCTTTTTTTGGTATTGATCTTTAAGTCTAGAAAGATGTCCTTCATTACGTAACAAGAAAAATTGACAAAGGATCGAAGGATTTATTCTAGTTGTCAAAAGAAAATTCCTGTTGGGTTTCGATGGAAGAAACATGCAACAAAGGGAAACAATATCGAAATGTTCGTGATCCGAAATCCTTGAATACCAAAGTGCCTGTTTAAAAAAGTAAAGGTGAAAAAAAAAACAAGTTGAGAGTCATGTGGAGCATCAAAGCTATAAACACCCACTAACCCAAAATAAGATTTGTCACAACAAATTTCACAAACGGAAATAATTCAACACGGAAATTCCGCTCCGCAATATTTGGTTTACTCCGTAAGGCTGCATGTCGTCTGCTTGAAAAGAAGCCTCGTGACAGTCGGAAGAATTTGTAACCACAGACATAACACAAACTTAGTAACAAAATCTATTTTTATTTATTACTTTTGTACCGTTTGGTTGAAAATTGTTATTAATCAGACTAAACTCCTGAAAAAATTTCCTAGGTAGGCAAGCTGCGACGAGAGGGATGAATCAGAATGGAGCAAAGATGGTGAAGTGTGGTAAATAAAAAATAACAAAATATTTTGGCTAAATTTCATCAATTTTACAAACAGGTTCCCTTAATATTGTACTGAGCTTTTCGATGGTATTTCGTCCCTAATAAAGTGAAACCAAATATCTGAGTGTCTGCATGTTATTGGGAAACTAATTAAGGTGGCTCTCCACATTATGACGCCCTAGGTATCTCCGTTTAAGAACCATTGAAGTGACTTCGGAATTTCATATTGTCAAGTTTGATCTCGTAAGGGCGGATTTTCACGACGTAACAAGTTCAGTAATGTGTTTTTTTTCGTGGCCACCAGAAAACTCCTTATTTGGTAAAATATGTGCTCCAGCATTAACGGAAAATGGTTCTTTCTGATATGCTATCGAGAGCAGTTATGAATGAAGCATCAGTACAGTGAAAGAATGTTGGGTGAGGGTCAGATTTATCGAACACACAACAAAGAGGGTTAAGTTTTGAAATTTTTGCGTGCAAAACTCGTTGTTGAGGATGATCACTTGTTAAAAGACAAATTCAACAAGCTTATTAAATACTCATCTGAAAAAGCTAACCTTAATCGCCAAACTTTTCATCTGTAATCCAGAGACTTAACAGGTTAACACCCAATGATAATGTTGTCAGGGAAAAGGTTAAGTGAAACGAGCAACTCGAATAGGAGCTGAACAGTTTGTGTATTGTCTTGCAGTTCTTCTAGAAAACAACAGCGAGTAAAAATTAAAACGTAATTTTTCCGGAAAAAATGTACGTTGAAGGCGAACTAGTTTTATTATGGACTTGTTAAAAGGAGGAGACTTCCTCTCGCTAATCAGGGCATAGCTATAGCACCAACGGACGAACTAAATGTATATACTTAATATTGAATATTTGAGCTAAAAATAATGAGAATTAAATAATCGTCATTGCAGCTCAGTTAATTGGTGTTCGTCACTGCTCTCCAGTTAACTGGTATTTTGGTCTCCAGCTCCCGTTATATCATTGATGCTGGGGTTTTAATTACGAAAGATATTCAACAGACACAGCACCTTTTTATACTGTGAGATATAGATGTTTTAGAAAATTTTCTCTCCAACCTTTGCCGACCCCATGTTTCCGATGTGAAACTCCTTCTCGTGATCAACAAAGTGGTCACGAGACAACTCTCTATGTATCATGAAATACATTATATTTACCCACAAGGAGATGACTCCTCTCATAATTTGTCTGCTCTGCGAAGTTTCTTCGATAACCAATGATAAATTTCTGTCCGCAAAGAAAATTTCGATGAAACATTAGTGTATGCAGTGTTTTTAGCTTCTTTGTTTTTACAAACAACTCCAGAATCGTCAGAACAAAATGAAAAAATATATTTTTTAAGAACCACTGATGCAATATTTGGATTTATTGTTACTTTCATCACCTATTCAGTTGTTGATCAAAGTTGAATTTACAGCTTCGATTAAGTTACGAACATTACTAGGAAGTCTGATCACATTTACCTTTTTCCTCAGACACAAGCTATAAGCCGCCCATTCACTGTCTTTACTTTTATTTACCAAAGATAAGGGAAAAATATGTACGTATTGTAACGTTACAAAGTGACACTATAAAGACGCCTTTGGGTGGCCTCCTGTGTTTTCAGTGAGTCAGACAGACTTTCTTATCCATTCTCCTTGGTAAACTATGAAATGCCTTTT